ATAACGTCATAAACATTAACATAATGTCATATGGAGACACGATTATCTCTACTCTCTGGTTAAATGTGGTTGTGAATGAAGGAGGGACGAGATTCACAAAACTAAGGTTCACACTTGGGTGTCGTTGTAGGAGTTGGGAGAGTGGTCGAATGGGCTGTTAACACGTATTGACAAGTCAGTTGGGTCCACGGTTTGGTCCGGTAAACCGCGGTCTAGACCAGACCAGACCAAGAGATCAAAACATAAGATAATACAGACCATGGACCAGACCAGACCATACTTAACGGTCTACGGTCCGGACCAAACTGTGCGGTACGGTTTGGACCATAGTTTTTCTAACGGTCTGGTCTATTTTTCCAGCCCTACTCTCAACCAGGCTCTGATACCATAACAACGTTTGCTTTGTGGAAAATTAGGGTTTCCAACCAACCCATTTCCTTCTCATTGCAAATATATAGTTCGAACTACAAGCCAAAAACATCCAGCTCTGCTTGTGAAAAACAAATACAGAGAAGATGAATAGTAAAAACGATCGCTGTCCAGACCGTTGGAAAAGCAAGCATCTGATTGTTCCTTCATCTTCCAGTACGCGCGTGACACGTGACACCTGGATCTTCGTCAGAGACGGATGGAACGACGCCGCTTCATTTGCTGCGAGAGCTTTCTTCTCCTGAACCGGGTTCGATACTTGAAGAAGAAAAAAACATGTTGGTTTCTTCTGTTATATATGTTATGCTCCATCTGAATACAAGTTGTGAGAATTACGAATACTCAAATCACACATATAACATATGTTTTTTTTTGGTTCAATAAGAATATATTATCTAATGTGTGTTTTTGTTCGATGCAAATATGATATTTGTTCAACCAGAATATACATGTATAAGAAAAATGTCTAAGTTAAACTTTGTAAACACAACGATCCACTTGTCAGGACAATTAATGAAGTTTCCCCCCCCCCCCCCCCTCGATCCACTATCTATTCTTCTAATACGGTCCATTTATGTGGATCATTGGACGCAAGGTAGAGAACCTTTCCTCTGAAAAATACACGTCGGACACAATAGCAAAATACAGTCCTACATTTGAACCAACCCTAACAAAACGTGACAAAAACCAAAAGTGAATGACAAGATCTTACATACCATCTCATCAATTTGTGGTCTAGAACTCTTTGCTTGGTCACCAATTTCAAGTTGTCCCTTGACTGGCTTCTCCTACTTCCTCTCTCGGGCATAACCCTTCATTCTCAATTCGGTTTGTAAATATTTTTCACACATCGCAAAAGGAAAGAGGAACAAATAAAACAACCTTTATAGTACAACACATGCACCGTCCTACCCATATTTGAACCTAACCCTAACAATGTGACAAAACCCAAAAGCTGCAGCCACCAACTAGCCCTTTTAATTACAACCCATTTATCGCAGATGAATTTTGGAAGATGTAATTGCCACATAGAAATGAGAAGATCGTAGTTTAGTTTGGTTTGGTTTTGTTAACCAAAGCTTTAAGAATAAAAAAAATTAAATAAGGAAATTCTAAAGAAACAAAACCGTTAAGAGGCTGATCAATTATTGGTTAATCGAAAACTTATAAGTCCCTGGTGATATTGGCTTGATTTGGATAATAAAAAAAAAACAAATCCGTAGTTTAGTTTGGAAAGTAAAAAATGGAGTAAGAGAAGACAACAAAAAATGTGAAGATAGGAAATACGACGTATAAGTTGGTGATAATGTGTGTTGTTGACGGATATTAATTTAGTTAGGATGTTATCAGTTTGTTTTTTGATTTTTTTAATGGAAACCTAAAGCATGAAGACTCTAGATGATTTTTAAAAAGAAAATAAAACCATTAAAATTTTTATCGGTTTGACTTCAATTAAAACCGAAAAACCAAAATCAAAATGATAGCCTACATGCATATATGCATGCAGTTACTGGCTTGGCTTTGCTTGCTTGCTTGCTTGCATACGACTTAGGTTGAGCAGCAGCAATGGCGACTCCTAATTATAACCTCACATCACAACACGAATAAAGAGAAAATCACTTCATCCATCATGCACGTTTATAATACTTGTTCAAACTTGCTTCTTCCTCTCGTGACATGAAATGGAACCCTTTTTTCAACTTATTAACAACAAACTTAGCAGCTACCCAAATGTGATGAAAATAGTCGAATGGGATCGCACTAGGAAGCTTCGACAGGCTGATACGTGGTGAAAACACATTTCATCCCCAATAATTAGTTAGGACGATTGTGTATATTAGGCCTCGATTGACCTTTAATTAATTTCCTGACAGGAGAGCATGTATATACGTATGTTAGAACGGATGGGGAAACCGACAACCCAACAAAGTAAAAAACACACAGATTTACATCATTATGTGGTTTATTAATATGATGTGTCTTAGCTAATTCACGGGCATAAATAACAAGTTTCATTGTACTCGAGAAGATACAAATTACAAATATTGGGAAGGTATATAGCACAGTCTCCAGAAGGCCTGGCCCAACCTTGAAAAAAAAAAGGTTACAGACCATATCCAAAATAGTAAAACAAATGTGTATGAGCTCATACACTATATGGGGTTCGTGAGAGCGCCCCGAACCGAGCGCTTCACCTTGAAACCCTGCTCGCTAACCAGACAGCAAAACCCTATAACTTCCACCCCACGACTAGAAATGGCAATGGGACAGGTGCGGGGCGGGTTTCTTGGTACCCAGACCCGCCCCGTGGCAAGTCGGTTTCAGGTCGGGTAATTTATCACGGATCGCGGGTCGGGGAAGGTCGACTCAATGAGTATGCAATTTATATGAAAACATTAGAAATATTCGTTATTTTTATTATAAGACCAAGAAAACAAACAATAGTATGATAAATGTAGTTAAATTATTAGAGAAATTGAGATTTTCACGAATTTACAACTTTATTATAACTAAATTATAATGTAATAAAAGAAATATCCTAAATAATTTGACTAAAATTACATGTAATTTAGACAAAACGGGTCGAGAATGGGGTGGGTCAGGGCAGGTTGGGTCGATAAAAGTACTCATATCCGCCCCACCCCGAAACAGACCAAACGGGTCGATAAAACGAATCAGGTCGAAATTGTCATCTGTACCACTACATACAATCTGTCTTTAGCACCTACATTTTATCCCTTTGCCGACATTGAGAATATACATAGCATGCGTGAATTTATATCCCACTTGAACATTGTCATTGACCACTCCATTCAAACGTAGCTTTTATTAGTTGCAGTTTTTTCCTCCTCTCAGTAGGATTTGTTAGGTTACCAAAATGGATATTACATAAACATCCAAATCGTATTATTCGTAACCAGCACACGTAAAATACCTAGGAGTCAATCTTCCTAACTTTCCCGTCGTTTTCTTTGTTAGGAACAGTTTGACATTTACATGATCATGCATGCATAATTAAAACATCCATATCTCTCGATCGACGCTCAAGTCTTTCACATCAAAGCCGTGTAGAAAAAAACTAGGGTAACAACTAACAAATCCATGTCTTTCACACTAGCTTCTATATGTTCTTTTCCGTACTAAAATTGAATTCAGCGAACCTCATACAAATAACTAATAAAAAATGTTCGTCTCATGCTTGGTTCGTATTGTTAGTCTGGCTAACAGTATAGTAGTGTTCAACGTTCAAATGTGACTGCCCTACTTTAATTTTGGTACACTTAGTCTCGATACGATAACAATAATATGACATGCAGCTACAAAAAGAGAGCGAACAACGTACTCACATGTCACACCATAGCTAGTTTTAAGCATACACAAAATCTAAAATACGTGCAAATGTTGGTTCGTATTGTTAGTCTAGCTAACAGTATAGTAATGTCCAACATTCAAATGTGATTGCCCTACTTTAATTTTGGTACACTTAGTCTCGATACGATAACAATAATATGACAGCTACAAAAAGAGAGCAAACAACATACTCACATGTCACACCATAGCTAGTTTTAAGCATACACAAAATCTAAAATACGTGCAAATGTGTGTAAACACTCATTCTTTCCATCTTTTTTTCCCTTCTCAAAACCATTTCATGTATATATACTGAATTTGAATCTGTAGTACAACCTAAAACAGCCCATGGTAAAATCACTGATGGACACAACACATACACTACTTTCGTGTATTCTTTTCTGTGTCTGCCCTTTTCCATGCCCTTTATATGCAATAGGAGGAATCTGCTGAGAGACACAAGCTCGAACAGGCTTCACCAGTCGAGCTCGAACAGCTCACCTTGTTTTTGCAATGTCCCCAAGTTGTCTCATTCGAGGTTCGAGAGAAGAAAAAAAGCACAATCTATAGTACGTTTCTCTTGCATGACTTGTCTGGTCTGATTCTTGCTTTGCCAAACCCTAATTACCTCTGCATATCTTTCCTCTCTCTTTTCCTTATATATTTTCTTGCCTTGGATAGCCAGTATAGACCCCAATGCGTGCAATTTGTTCTGCTTGGCCAATGGCCGGTCTACTTCGAACATGTATGTCGTAACATATCTATATACGATTTGGATTCATGTTGATTTCCCTATTTTTTCTCATGAAATTCTGGTAAGAAAGTGTTATATGATTCATAATTAACTTTGTCCTAACAATTCGAATTATTGGGACCAAATGGTTCTTTGATGTAGTATGAAAGTCTTCGATATCCAAGATGTCTTGTGTTCGAATCCTGGAGACTCTCATTACTAAGCAACTGGTATTCGAACATGTGCAAACTTAAAACCCATAAGTTAGCTTTCATTTGAGCTGAGTGTTTTAGAAAGTGATATGTATAATTAGACAGTAAAAAAAAAAGAAATTTAACACTAATCTCTATCGTTTCTAATATTTATACCACTAGCTACAAGTGCAAATATAATTGTGGGTTTTTTGGATGATGATATAATTGGGAGATTGATATTATATTTTCTAAAAAATATAAATCACTATATTACAATGATGAGAGGCGAGATAGATCGAGTAGATCCCTTAAAATGGGGCTTTATATGAGTAGTTTGTAAATTAGAAGTAGACATTTCTCTCTTGCATTTTCCAATCAAGCATGTGTTCATGTTTGTCTATAAATGGGTGTGTCTAGTCATGGCATTATTATTTGTCCATTTGCTTCGAAACTTTTCATAATATGTGTTTGCGTTGGAGCACCTCAAATCCTCAATCAACCATGATTATAATTTACTCATGTACTATAATGTAACTGAAGTTTCGAAAGGTATTAGGCGCAAGGCATACGTTGGGTTTATGATTAGTGTCTAGACGTGCCTGGACATTTGAAGTGAAAATAGTTGATTTTAGTAGAAATTACAATTTTACAACAATTTTGTACTTAACTTCAGATGATTAATAACTTAGCTAACCTTTAACAACAAAGATGCAACATTGTTTACTCAAGGGTGATATCGTATTAATGGATCTTCATTTATGTGTCATTTAGTGATTACTCATGGAAAAGACCGAACGATGTCGTTCTCAAACCCTACAATGACGCATATACTATTAATCAATTGTTATTCAAATTGGCGGAAATTGACATTAAATGGTATGGAATCTCAAAAATCGAGGGCAACTTTGGTTCCGATTATGCTTGAATAGCAGCTTCAAGCCTCACTTTCTGGTTGGAGACAGAACGAGATAGTCACTAGGTAAGGTTTTACATTGCAAGACAGACTAGTGGCAGTGTTTTCATCATATTGTAATTAGTAGTCAGGATTATCTCGGAGTTTGTTGACCATAAATACTCATGGAAGAGACTGAACGATGTCATTCTCAAACCCTACCATGACGCATATACTGTTATAATCAACTGTTATTCAAATTGGGGGAAATTAACATGTAGATATTGGTATGGGATATCAAACACCAAGGGCAATATTAGTTCCCATTATGCTCGAATAGCAGCTTCAACCCCTCACTTTTCGGTTGGAGACAGAAAGAGATAGTCACTAGGTTTTTACATTGCGAGACCGACAAGTGGCAGTGTTTTCATCATATTGTATTTAGTAGTGAGGAAGATCTCGGAGTTTGTTGACCATAATTAGGATTTGATGCACGAGCAGGAAGTTGAGACAAAGGAGGAATCAAACTGCATCCCGCCATTGTATCTATAATCAGAAGATATATGGAAGGAGCTGTACACGACGGACATTTATTCGGGGAATTGAGAAGGAAGGTGAAGAATCCAAAGGAAGAATAAGATACATTAGACCGTAAAATTAAAAAAAGTTCGGTTTTTTATACAAGGGGACATTTGACCCAAATGTCCAATTTTACAAATTACCCTTCCATACAAAATTGAAAATCACAAATAATATTATCTTTTCTCAATTGCATTCCAAATTGAACCATGCCTAAAGACAATCCACCAATTTTTATTTTTATTTTTTTATATAATGTTCAAAAGAAAATCTCCAATGTGGATTTAGGTACACTTTGAGATCCCACAACCCAAAACCTACACCACCTTCCTCTTCACCCTTCCCTCTCCTCTCCCTATATATACCCTCTCTTCCCCCTCTTTTCTCTTCACACAAACAGAAGCCCTCCAAACTAACACGCACACAAAGACACACACACCTTCCCCTCTCCTCTCCTTCTTCCCTCACGCCAACAGCACCCACCATTTTTCCAGACAAGATCACAACCCACCACAAAAGAAACCCCATCGCCACCATGCCGGAAGCTCCCAAGGCCGTCGCCGTCGCCAGCAGCAGCCACAACAGCAATGGCAGCCTCACCACCATTGTCGAAAAGAACAAGCGCGCCCTTCAGTTCATCGACGACGTCACCTCTTCCCCCGACGACATCCAGACCCACGTCCTCCGCGAAATCCTCTCCCGCAACTTCGACGTCGAGTACCTCAAGCTCCGCCACCGCCTCAACGGCGCCACCGACCGCCGCACTTTCAAGAAACTCATCCCCGTCATCGCCTACGAGGACATCCACCCTGAAATCACCCGCATCGCCAATGGCGACACTTCCCCCATCCTCTGCTCCTCCCCCATCTCCGAATTCCTCACCAGGTGAAAAACCCAACAAGCCGATTTCCAAAAAGATTGATTCTTTACAACAAACAATACTGACTCTGTTTCATTGCTCTGTTTTTTTCCACCCCCCCTCCTTCTTATCCACAGCTCTGGCACTTCGGCAGGGGAGAGGAAACTGATGCCGACGATTGCAGAGGAAATGGACAGAAGATCGACCCTCTACTCCCTCCTAATGCCGGTCATGTCCCAATTCGTCCCCGACCTCGAGAAGGGCAAAGGGATGTACTTCCTCTTCATCAAATCGGAATCCAAAACCCCCGGGGGGTTGCCCGCCCGACCCGTTCTCACCAGCTACTACAAGAGCTCCCATTTCAAGAACCGACCTTTCGACCCGTACACCAACTACACCAGCCCCAACGAGACCATCCTCTGCCCCGATTCCTACCAGTCCATGTACTCCCAGCTCCTCTGCGGCCTCTGCCAGCGCACCCAGGTACTCCGGGTCGGGGCGGTTTTCGCATCGGGTTTCATCCGGGCGATCCAGTTCCTCCAGAAGCACTGGCCACTCCTCTGCCGCGACATCCGGGCCGGGTCCCTCGACCCGTCCGTCATCACCGACCCGGCCGTGAGGGAGACCGTCCTCACCAAAGTCCTCATGCGACCAGATCCGGAACTCGCGGGTTTCGTCGAAACAGAGTGCGGGAAGGATTCGTGGCAGGGGATTATAACCCGGCTCTGGCCCAATACCAAATATGTTGATGTGATCGTGACGGGGACAATGTCGCAGTACATTCCCACTCTCGATTTCTACAGCAATGGTCTGCCGCTCGTCTGCACAATGTATGCTTCTTCCGAATGCTATTTTGGGGTTAATCTGAACCCGCTCTGTAAACCCAGTGAGGTCGCTTACACCTTAATTCCAACCATGGCCTACTTCGAGTTCCTCCCTGTTCACCGTAACAGCAACAATGGGGTGTCCAATTCCATCTCCATGCCCAAATCCCTCAACGAGAAGGAGCAGCAGGAGCTCGTCGACCTCGCCGACGTCAAGCTCGGGCACGAGTACGAGCTCGTCGTCACCACTTACGCTGGTACTAAAAAAAAAATTCTCCAATTCCGCGAAATCAGAGTTCTTGTAATTGGGTTAATTTCGATCTTTAATTGTTTTTTGTTCGCGATCGTGGTTGCAGGGTTGTACAGGTACAGAGTTGGGGATGTGCTGCGAGTTGCAGGGTTCAAGAACAAGGCGCCGCAGTTCAACTTCATCTGCAGGAAGAACGTGGTGCTGAGCATCGACGCGGACAAGACCGACGAGGTGGAGCTGCAGAGCGCGGTGAAGAACGCGGTCGACGCCCACTTGGCGGCGTTCGACGGGAGCGTGGCGGAGTACACGAGCTACGCCGACACGACGACGGCGGTGCCGGGGCACTACGTGCTGTACTGGGAGCTGAGCTTGAAGGGGACGACGGCGATCCCGCCGTCCGTTTACGAGGATTGCTGCCTGACCGTGGAGGAGTCGCTGAACAGTGTTTACAGGCAGGGGAGGGTGTCCGACAAGTCGATCGGCCCGCTGGAGATCAAGATTGTGGAGCAGGGGACGTTCGACAAGCTGATGGATTATGCAATCAGCTTGGGGGCGTCGATCAACCAGTACAAGACGCCGAGGTGCGTGAAGTATGAACCGATCATTGAGCTGTTGAATTCGAAGGTGGTGGCCAGTTATTTCAGCCCCAAGTGCCCCAAATGGGTTCCTGGTCACAAGCAGTGGAGCAACAATATGAAGAACTAGAGGTGGGGAATGGATGGGATCACGGATTGGATGGAGATAAGAAGATTTGTTGCTCTGTTTCGCTCTTTTGTTTAGAGGAAGAAGAAGAAAAAAAAAGTAGCTTCTCTTTTGGAGAGAAAGGTCTGTCATGATTATTGTTAGTGACCAGTAGAGGTGCATGGTGGATAAACAAACCAACCTTTTGTTTTGGTGGTGGTGGTGGTGGGGAAGGAATGTTGCTCAATAACCCTTTCTTTCACTGTCTCTGTTTCTTGTTAGGTTAATAATTACTTAACCCTCCTTTTCTTCGTTCTTTTCGTTAATGGCTACTGTCAATTTTTGTACTTTCATATCTTTGGGTAATTAAATCTGTTGGGACAGAGAGAGATCTTTGAACTGGCAATGTACAAAACTAGTTCCCTGTTTCAACGATGGCCTTCTTGTTTCGGAATTACATATTGCGCCTTAATCCGGTCATACGAGATCGTACACCTGAATTATCACATGAACTTTCTTTTCCGTTCTCTTGCTTCGCTATCTCGTGATTACTCGTAAACCACATTTTTCAAAACAAACTGTGCTCTGTATAGATAGAACAGAAACCATAAACATGTTGTTATAGTACAACCCAAGTTATAATCGAAAATACAAAAAGAAAGTGACCATTTTATAGTGTCCACCTGACCTAATTAGTACGAGAACTTTTAGCAAGTACCCAAAAGTAATTCCAGATGAGTTTTCACCCAATCGAACAATATCGTATTAATTGACATAAAATGGTGGAACTGTTGTAACGGACGGGAATTTCCTTTGTATTTCCCCCCCCCCCCCCCCGTTGTGGAGATCGATGAACTCTGTTATGGGGAATGGATTCAGAAATCCAGGCAGGAATCCTGGCCGCTTTATGAGAGTCTCATGGGGCCGATGATCGAAAACGGCAAAGAAGGGAGGAGCCACACAGCCAGAGTAAAGCCAAACCCCAAGTTCCAGCTTCAGGTCAACAGGAAACCACGCGGACCTTAGCCATTACTCACTCCATCGGAACTGAAAAAGTAAGTAAGTGCAATAATAATGGAAACTCTGTTTCGAGAAGAGAAAACTAAGGTCCACTAGGGCCTCTGTTTGCTGACTTAATCCGCAAAGGGACTCTCTCTGGCTGATCCAACAGACCGAATCCCGGTGACGCGCAGCAAGATCGAAGCCGACGCCATGGCCGTATTTCATCGACGAAAATATCTTTGGGGAGAGAAAACAGGGGATTTTTTTTTTCTTATAAAGGGAGAGAAAACAGAGGATTGCAGAAGATTTACCCTGTCTTTTTAGGAAAGAAGTAAAGTGGCTGGCCGGGTATGATAGGAGCTAAACGGTGGAGTTTTAGGTAGTCGGTTAGGTAAGTAGTGGTTCAACCGAACTGGTCAGATAGGTTTGGGATTTGACTGTACATTTAGTTGAGTTGAGTTGCAAGAAAGAATAGGAGTCGAGTTGTAATTCTCACCATTTCATATTCTTGAATTGACAGATTCATCTTAATGTAACAACTTAATTTTGTTTTCGATTCATTGAAACTCGGACTTTTTCCAGAAATACCACTGTTTAAAATTTTTTTCCAAAAATACCACCCTACCCCAAAAAATTTCATAAATACCACCCTTTTTCAAAAACCGCCACCCGACCCTGCGGTTTACACAAAAATCGCTAGGCGGGGGCACGGTTTTCTATACAAACCGCTGAGCTAAGGGGCCCAAAACCGCCGCCCCACCCAGCGGTTTGGTCCGGTTTTTATAACCGCCCCTTAGCCCAGCGGTTTTCTTGTAAACCGCAGGGTCGGGTGGCAGTTTTTGAAAAAGGATGGTATTTTTGAAATTTTTTGGGGTTGGGTGGTATTTTTGATTTTTTTTTTTAACAGTGGTACTTTTGGATTTTTTCCTTGAAACTCTATATGACATCAGAACTGTGAAAGTCCTAAATTTCTTCCTCTTTCGATTCCCAATTCCTCTCTGATCTTGAAAGAAGTGATTTAGAAAAGAGAAGGATTGTAGGGGATAGGCTGAATTATTCTTGTTGTCGGATATTCCCTGGTTGAATGGATAAATTACATTATACTGTTGTAGCATGAATTCTGACCCGCAAGTAACGAAACCAGATATTCGAATGAGGGGAGATGAATTGAATTGTCGTGATTGAGGGAGGTGGGAGATAAAGCTTTACCAACTATTCTAATTCATAAATTTGTGCAAATTTTACATGTAATTTTACCTATATTTCAAAACCGAGAGGGGGCTACAGTCCCTCCTCTAACTTCAGCCTAGTTCCGTCACCGTCCAACAGGTATCATTCCTAACTCCAAAATAAATTTGTATGAGTCAAGCAATCGGTTAAAATGTATAAATATGGGTAGTTGGGGGAGGTACTTAGTTTGGCAAGCCATCCTATCAATCTTAAACCTCCTCCTTTGCTGGAAACTAAGGTTGGACGGCACAAATCAAATAATGAACCATCAGAGTACAAATAAATATTTTATACGGCTAAAGTCGTCTTTAAATTATTAAAGAAAGTAAGATTTGTCATTTTTATTCATACTCTCACTTTTATGGTTAAAACTTAAAATTTCTCTATTTATTAGTGCATCATTGCATTTATGTTCAACTTGTATTTATATCAAAATAACACGTACAAAATAAGTACAACACTCCCGTCGTCTTCCTTATGTCTGGTCACTACTCACTACTCCGGCCTTTCCTTTTCTAGCCGCGTGGGCCGACCTTCGACCCAACCTCTCCTTTCTGTGGGCTTTACTCGTCCGCAATTCCACCGGGCCTAAATGTGGCCCGGTGGAATGGTGTATTCCGTAATTTAACCATAATACACTGATGTTATAATATATTATTATTAAAATAATAAACTAAGATAATATATTCAGCATGTTGTGCGTAAAAAAAAAAAGCCGTTTGAAACTAAAAAAAATTAATTAGTACACTGAAAATAGATCGTATGGTACCAATTTACAAGTCCATCATAGACAATTTTTCACTAACCATACTAATAATAAAACACGGGAAATGAAGGAAGGAATCTCAATATTGGTCAAGTTTAAAACTAATATCCGTGAATTAAAATCCGAGATTTGAGCCGATTCGCGTTGTTTCTGTTTCTGATATCAAAGGAAAGGGATGGGATTAGGTGCTAACCCCTATAGGGGTTAGCACCGTGATAACTAGCAAAAAAACGTTATTAAAAATAACGAAATCACTACGGATTATTATAAAATCAATACAACATCTAAACTAAATCACTACTAATTCAAACTAGTAGTAGTTTTTCCCTTGATTAGGACGGTGCTAACAGCTCTCCAAAGAGCACCGTAACAGCTCTCCAAAGGAAACTGATCCACTTTTAATCCCAAAATCCAAGTGTTCTTTCCCGTGGCGGTAACTTCAAGTAAGTCTACCTCTTTCCACCCCAAAATATCTCTTCTTTTTTATTTTTCTGTTATTTATTATTTTGCCTGGATTATCCAAGAGTTTTCCCAAATTTTTTCCTTTTATTTTCCCCTGGCTTTGAGGTTCCAATTTCCCAAGAGTTTCCCAATTCCAATCCTCAACGCTATAATACTAATCGATTCCCCACCCCGATTTCCCCGTCGCGATTCCATCAAACAGTTTAGGGATTTCCCTTCCAACTGCCGATCGATCATCACCATGGGAGGAGGAGCAGCCATGAGAACAGTGGCCAAGGTCGCCGGTGTCGGCGTCGTCAACAGTGGATTCCGCAGCGCAGTCTCCGCCGGGTTACCTCCGGCCGAACACTCCGTCCGCAGCGCATCTCGCCCCGTTTCTGCGGCGATCTCCTCCTCTTCGTCAACGTCGTCCGGTGTAGCTGCGGTCCAGCGCCCTGTTTTGGAGCTCGATGAGTGGGAGATGGCCGGCGGCGAGGAAGAGGAGCTGATGTTGTTGGATTCCTTGGAGCCGAGGCCCAGGCTCGTGTTTGGCGGCCCGCCGACTTCTCAGGAGGCCGAAGAGGCCACCGTCGAGCTCAAGGACGCTCTGGAGAAGTAATCTCCCGCATTTCTATTCTTGTTGATACCGGTTCAGTTCAGTTCAATTCAATTCTATTCGTTATATCTCTGGCGCTTCGTATATGCTCTATGAGTATGATCTGTTTTCAGCTCTTTAGAAATCGTAGTAATTTGTGAGAAGTCTTGTTCTTGTGTGATCATCTGCCATTTTTAACCTTCTTTTACTGGAGAATGGTGCTTGATTATATCCAATTAGAGTGCATATAGGAAGCTTCCTGCATTGCCAGTATCTGTGTTCACATATCCTTGCTCTGGCAACTCAAGATCAAGTTTTGGTCCAATCTTTAACATTATGGTAGTTTGTTCTTGATTGTCATATCTATGGGATTCGACCATTTGATAGGTAATAAACTTATGATAAATGGTGTGTTAAAAAGCGTTTTTCTTTAATGGAAATGCAGAATATCTAGTCCAAAATATGAAGGATTTGCTGCCTTCAGTGACCATCTTGGCGTCCCTTTGCTTACAAGTTCTGAGCTCGAGACTAAAAACCGTCTCTCTTGTGAGAGAAAAGCAGCTCCAGAATATGCTATTAATGCATTGAAGCTGCTAAATCAGAGTCCCGCTGCTCAGGTTCTGATGCTTGACCTATTTTAGTACTATCTGATTGCTCTTGCTGATGATCCAATTTCTGATTATCTGTATGTTTCCTGCCATCGCCGGTTTCTTGCTTACTTAAAAGTGGGATTCTGATTCCCTTCGACTTGTATTCTCTTAATCCAGCAGCTGTTCTAGTGTGCAAGTTCATTTAGCAACTGAGTGCATTTACATTCCTGATGGCGATCTTCCATTCTGTTCTCTTTTGAGTGCTGAAGCCTTTAACACTTTGGGAGCCTGTAACATTTTGCTGACCACTTTTGTTTATTCAATGTGGAGTGTTTTGCCGTTTTGTGCTTGTTCTATTTGAACCGGTTTTTGCTGCGTGTATAATGATTCAGCCTCTAAGTCAGCCATCACGTCTTCTGCTACTTGATGTGTGTTGGCTAATAGTCTCCTTTACTGACTATACTCTGTTTCATGTTTCTTTACTCAGTCCGTCGTGGTTTCAATTGCATCGGACCCAAACGTGTGGGATGCGGTTATGCGAAACGATGCACTTACTGAATACCTCCAGTCCCACAAGATAATTACAAGCCCCGTGAACGAGGCTTCCACAGAATCTGTTACAGATTCTAGCTCTGAGGGCACAGAACCTGTTGCATTCCAGGAGTCGCAGACCGGGCTTATGGACTACCTAGATGACATCAAAGTTAAGGTGGTGGACATGTTCGGCACTGTCTCCTCTTTTCTGCAGAACATGTTTGGGGTGCCACCTGCTGTAGGGGGATCCGATGAGGGAGATGCGAAATCGACGTTCATGGAGAACGCGGTGGGAGCATCTTTCTTGGGTTTGGCTGTGATGGCTATCATGATGGTGGTGCTGAGAAGGGCCTAGCACGATCCTCTCAATTTGCCGACCCTACACAATTCTGTTGCTTTTGATTCAGGAAAAAATAAAAATGGAGAGACGGTGTGTTCTAGTCATGTAAGTCCTTTTGCACATACTATGACTATGTTAGGTTATGTCGATAATGTGTGAACTTGTGGAGTCGATTGAGCTGTTATGTTCTTGGTTCGGACATAATACCGCTTTGGTCTTTCACCAACTATTGGCACTGCTCGTTAGGGCACTGCGTCATGATATTATACGCGCACCTGATCACGCGACCGCAGTTCCCCGACGCCGGGCGGAACTCCATCGGCACGTTGTAGCCGTCGATCACGGAGATGTCGAAGAAGTCGAGTTCCATGTACTGCTTCAGAGCGTATTCAGCTAAGGTGTTGGGTGCCACACCGTAGCCCTTGCAGTTTAGGACCCCGCCGCAGTCGCCCGTCTGGCACCTTCCCCTTCCCGCACCATCGAACTGGCAGTTGGTGCGGCCCCAAATCCGGGCCCCGGTGGTCCCGGGCACCACGTAGATGGTCCATGTATCACCCCTGTTGAGCTGGCGGCCGCCTCCATCAGGGACCGAGGCGGCTCAGACGGTGTACGGGCACTTGTTCGTTATGTCGAAACGGGCGGCTTCGACATGGCGAGTGATTGTGAAGGCGATGATGATGAGTAGCAGGGAGATGGGCTTAAGGGACATTGTTAGTGAAGTAGCCATGATGGGAGTAAGTGTTTGGATCAATGAAATGTTGCTTTTGTGGTGAAGGGAAAGAGAGGAAGGGATTGGAGGTTTATATAGGAGTTTGGAGTAATGGGGGAATGTGGAATTTTTTTGGTCATGTGGAAATTTGGGTAGATTAGAAGAGATTTTAGCCTCCACTTGCATGGTAAATCATTTCTCTTCCGGATATTCTGTAAAAATTGGAATACATGTTAGATCGTCGATCATGCTGCTAAGAATTTCATAGAAGCCTATGACAATTATAACATATAATATTATTCATCAATCATAAAAATCACATAGCGTTATTCATGCTTATACAAAGCATCAATATAATTGTTGGGGTGGGGGGATTTGTCATTCAATTTTACGTGGTGGACTACAGTAATATTTATAAATTTTAACGATATGAAACTAGTACAATACTAGTTGAAAGGTATTCCGCCAATTTGCTATCGATTAAAGCAAGATTATACCAATATAAAAAGGCAAAAATTATCTGTGTAGCCAAAATTTTGACGTTTATGATAATAATAGTCACTTTTTGAGAAATACCAATAATAGCCGGAATTTTAATAGTTTCCGTTGCATAATTTAACGACTTCAGTAATCCCGTTAGTCAAATTAACGGAAATTTTCGCTAAAAGTAGCTATATTTGGCCAAATTCTCAAAATTTTGACTACACAAGTGTATTTTTCATATATAAAAATATAATTGCACTAACTTTGTGGACAATATCACAAACCACATCCAATTAAAACTTTGTGGGACAACATCGCCAAAATTCTACGGGAGGGTTAAAAGCTCTCGTTTCAAGGGGTCGTTTGCTTCAAGGATTTGCATCATAGATTTGGTATAAAAAAACCAACTATCATGGATTTACACACAATCCGTTGTTTGCTTTGTCAAAATATGTTTAGATAAATCTGTGGGCCCCACGGATTTGGTTTTTTTTTTGCTCCAAATCCATGGGCCCCACGGTTTTATAAATCCCACCTCATACCCTGGGATTTGGAGACAAGCCGAAAAACCATCAAATCCATGATAAAAATAGCTCAACAAATAAAGGATTTCCTCAAATCCATAATGCCCAAAATCCCTAATAAATCCCAAGGTTTTTAATTAACAAATCCATGACAAAATCCTCTTTATAAAAACCTTGAAGCAAACGACCTCTTAATTAGTTTGACAAGTCTTTTGGGTCTTGCTAGTGGAAGAATGAAGGATAGTACATCATTGTTGCAAAAAAGCATGTTCCACAGATAATGACTATGATAGATAATTAATCACAGTGGAGTAAACAGTTTCCTAGCACCAATTTTCTGGTATTTAAACATATATATATATATACCTTACCTTATGAAGTTCTTGTGAAGAATCGTGATAATTTGTTGTGTTTTATTATATTTCAATATGATATGGCAAATTAAAAATAATTGTTTCGTTTATTGATAACTCATCTACTTAATAGTAAACCATCATAATTAACCGTTACATAGGATGAATTTAACGGAACGACCAGTAATCAACTGTGAAATAAGAGATTAGAATTAGTGATAACCAATAGAAAATTTTGGATTGACATACATAAAAGAAATTGGAAAGTTGAGGGACCAAATGTGCAATTCACCCGTGATAAAGTTGTGCCCTTCGCCAGTCTGCAACCTGTTCGTTGCCCTGAAGGGGTTTAAGTTTTCACAGCTAAACCCTTGTCTGTCCCGAGAGAGATTGAGTCGAACTGTTCACGCTCAATCAAATTATGGCTTTGAGATCCTCCATGTCGGCTCTAACAGCCGGTGCCAGCAGCTTACGGCGGATGTTGTCAACCGCCTCTACCACTTCATCCATCTTCTCAACGCTCGCCGCCCCTTCGGCTCGTGAACAAGCCGATCCCAACGTCAACCTTTTCGTCTCCGGTAACCCCGCTCACTCACTCATGTTTTGATTTCCATCCCAGTTCTGGGTTTTTTATTGTATGAATCTGTTCGTGATTTGTCCTGTTTGCTCTTTCGAAGAATGGGGGATAATCAAAATAACAGAGAAAGACAGATACTTTCGTTTTGAACTTATGAAGATAGGATTGAATTGTTTCTCTTTTGTGTTGTCCCTTTGATGGTTGCATTATTTATCCAGGGTGTGTACTCATAGGAGTATCATGTGCAGTTATGGATGTTTTTGGCATTTAGATGGGTTTTTGGTTGCATTTGTTAGTGTGTGGTATATGATCCATGATTGAACCTCTCCCAACAACTCGAGTTATTGGGATCAACTGATTCATGACATGGTATCAGAGCCTTCTGTGACCGAGAGGTCTTGTGTTCGATTCCCGATGACCCCCATTTGTTAAGCACATGGTATTCGGACCTGTGCAAACTTCAAGCCCTTATAAGTGGCTTTCATTTGAGGGGGCGTGTTAGTGTGTGGTATATGATCCATGATTGAACCTCTCCCAACAACTCGAGTTATTGGGACCAACTGGTTCATGACAGCATTATCTATCCATGCTTCAGTTGTTGCCGTTATATTATGTAGTTGGCTCTATCTGAACTCGAAGATTCGATGTAAGTGGATAGTTTCTGCTGTGGTGGTTAACTATCTGTAGACAGACCAATCTCTTCAAATGGTTTGGATACCCTGGTCATAGCTCATATGAGACACATTTTAGCTGGCCTGTAAACTCTATATGCAGATAATGTATGGGTATATGCTGGCTTGGCATTTGTTGTCGAATAAATTGTTTTATTTAGGTAAAGGGGAATGCTTGGACAGATTGGCATAGTAGTAATATATGGGAGTCACTGCTAATAGAGTAACCATGGGTAATGCTTCATAGCATTTTACTTGATAAGAACTAGTCCGAGTTGAATTTGGTTCTCGAAACTTTTAAATCAAACTGCTTACGCAAAATAACCATCGTACCTTAATATACACTCAAGATTTTATTTTGATGTCATAATTTGTAACTCAGGTCTAGCAGGTCACAAGACATTCTCTGTTTAATTTAATCTTGTTCCTACTGAACCTGGTTGTTGTACTACTGGCTTCTTTTTTCCATCATGGGAAGGCTCCAGTTGTGGTTGGTGCAATATAGTGTAATGGCACCCTGCAAGTTTTTTTTTTAACCAACTGTTTTTGGATGACGAAGGGAACCTTTGCGAATGCTAAGGTAGGTCGACATGATTGCCTGCTCAACCAAATATTATGAGGATGGGCCTTAAGATGTCTGTATTCAGGTGGAAATGCTGTTTTTGAAAATTGTATGGAGTTTATGCAATCGATATTTTTATTCAATATCTGTTGAGCTATAATTGCAAGGACTCAGATTTTTTTTTGTTGGTTCTATGCTGTTTGACTGTGAGGTGTTCATTCCACTATTTCATGATAACTGACTGACTGTGAAAATTGATTCAGGGCTGAGCAAACGAACCACAACGGAAGGCCTTAGGGATGCTTTCTCCAAGTTCGGTGATGTGGTTCATGGTATATGGTCTCACTTTGTATTTTCTTTCTTTTGATAGTTTGACGAAAGTCGATCTATCTGAATTTTTTTAATGCTATACAGCTAGAGTTGTCGAAGACAGGGTATCTGGGCATTCAAAAGGGTTTGGCTTTGTTAGGTATGCTACCTTGGAGGATGCTGCCAAAGCGATAGAGGGGATGGATGGGATGGTGAGTTTGCCTTATTGTATTTCTTCTTTCTTTGAAAGGGCAGTATTATGTGGCATGAAACTTTTACTAGTGGCATAGGTTACATGAAACACAAGAAATCATTTCCGAGTTGTACGGTAAATCTATCCGCTGAAATTGATGCTGAATCTGAAAATAAATGCATAATAACGAAATATGAGTAGTGATGATCAGCCTGTATTTTGCAGTATCTGGACGGATGGGTTATATTTGCGGAATATGCAAGACCAAGAGCACCTCCTTCACCACCCAGTAGTAGCATGGGGCCTGGTAATGGTGGTTTTGGCTCCACATATGGGAACAGCGCGAGCTATGGTTTTGGCAGTAATGTGAACCCTGGTTACGGGAATAACGTTGCAAGTGCTGGCTACGGCAGCAACGTGAACCCTACTGCTTATGGGAGCAATCCTAGTTCAGCATATGGGAACAATGCAAATACGGGCTCTTCATACGGGACTCAGACTGCTTATGGAAACAATCCAAATTCAGGCTCTTCATATGGGAGTCACACTACATATGGGAACAATCCGAATCCAGGCTATTCATACCAGTCTGTAAGCAATCCAGGCGCTGCTGCTTCATATGAGAGTCAGACTTCTTATGGGCACAATGCAAATCCAGGCTCTTCAAATGGGAATCAGACTATGTCTTACGGGAACAATGCAAATCCAGGCTCTTCGTACGGGAGTCAGACCACCTACGGGAACAATGCAAATCCAGGCTCTTCATACGAGTCTGGAAGCTACGCAGGCTCTTCGTACGGGAGTCAGACAACTCCATATGGAAACAATGCTCATGCTCATGGAAACATAAGCTCTGGGTTTGATGGCCCTGGATACGTTAACACCACAAGTCCTGGGTACGTGAACAACGAAGGCACTGCAAATTCTGGCAGCGCAAACCCTTCATATCGAGATAATACCACAGGCTCAGCAGCTTATGGCAATGGCGGTGGACCTGCTGCACAGGGTAACATCACAGGCTTTACTCATCTTCAGTGAAGCAGAAGGCTCGTCGATGAATGATATGAAGTTTGCAGTCAACAAATCACATTGTGGACTTCGCTCATGCTGCTGCTGATACGTTCACCCTAGTTTTCGTTTGTCTATATATTTGTGAACTCTTCTATCAAGCAACAATTGTCCGGAACCAAAAGGCTAATTTGTGAACATTCATCTGTGGTTTTCTGGGAATAAATTTCGATTTGTTTCTGTGAATGAGACTAGAGGGGGTCATTGGTGAACTGGATTATGGAGTCTCTGCGTCCAGGAAGAGGGATGGGGAATGAGTCAGATTAAAGACGTATCAGTGATCAACCAAAGAACAAACTGTTAACCACTAACTAACGAATCGCTAATTTACATTATAACATCCAATCTGTTAAGGGAAACAGAAACCAAAAGAAAACTAAAATTATCTCTTGCTGGCGAAATTAAGCAAATCACAAAAACTGGCAAACCTTGCAAAAAATGTTGCAGTTTCCGTCGGAAAATATAATTAATGTCAAGCAGACGGCCGACAGACAAAAATGGCCGAATACATTATGCTATCAACCAACCCATTTTAGGGGGTTTTCTATTCTTATCGGCAGCTTAATTGCGTTATTCATTGAATAACGAGGAAGGTAAAAACATATTTTATAATCACGGAAACAATGATTTTAACAAATTATGTTGCACAATGTTTTGTAGATTAAATGAACCTGCCCTCCTAAGTATATCCACATTGACCATTTTTTAAATAAAGTTGCATCTTGACGCTCCCATATAATTGCATTATGCAATTTCTACAATATATGTAGTTATTGTATATTTGAAATTTTTTTATGGAATGTAATAATATAAAGATGGGAAAATAATCTGGAACGTCTGAAAAATTGTTGATAAAATTGAATTGTACAATTTAGTTTGGATCGTCGACTATTAAGAATGATTTCGTTTGGTTCAAGGTGTGTATGATGAGATGTTTTGTTTTTCTTAAATCATGGAACAAGTTCACTTTTTCAATTCGTGTTAGCAGCTCACTCGACCACTCTCCTCACTCACCAACGAGATCCAACCTTATTTTGCGAATCATGTCTCTTTCTTCATTCACAAAACCACACTCCAACAGAGAATAGAAGCAATTGCTTCTTCATATAACGATATGTTAATATTCTATGACATTATGATGAAACTTGGGTTGCTCTATTTTTTTTTTTTTTACTATTTACTTGGATTTAGCTTATCGAAATTAGACATTCATTTTAGATTATTTTTTTCTCTGTCGATGTACTATTTAAATCTATTGACATGTACTATGTGATTATGATCTTTAATTTCTCCTCCAATCCCTTGAACCGTAGACGTTGGCGTTTCCCATAATCAATTAATTACTTATTTATTTTTTTGATAATTACGTTTCCCATAATTATGAGTTGTAGTAGCCATTATGAGAAAAAAAAGGGAGCAATCCAAGTGTATATATATAAAAATAAATCCATATCGTCCACGTCATAATAACTCCTAAATTAAATTTCGCGGGCCCGCCATTTTGCCCCCGTCCCTTACGATACCGATGTCCTTCCTTCCTTCCCCTTTCGCCACTCCGCCCTGCCCTGTCCCAAATGGCGTCCCCCACCAGATCTCTTCCCTGCAAAAACTTCTCACCTTCTTCTGCTAATAATAATATCAACCACATTCCAGATCCCACCTCACTATCCTCCACACCTTCTTCGACTTCCAAGCCTGTCTAATTTCCCCCCTTCCTTTATAATCGACTTCGCTTGTGTGAGGATCAATCCGGCTCGATGAAGTTTCTAATCGACTTCGTCTCTTGCTGCGGGAGCTCCGGCTGCGAAATTTCGAGCATGGGAGAGGCTTCTGGCTCGAGTTCAGCGAGGAGGAGAAGCCAGTCGGAGGAGACGCGAGGGCTGGTCTCTGGATCTGCCACGGCGGCGGGTGGTGGCGGGGCGGCTATTTCTTCCTCCAACAGGGGCCGCCGTCGGGCGAGAAAGAGGAGCAGAGCTGTGTCATCCGCCGCCGCAGACGGCGGGAGCGGAACTGGGCTGGAGGGAGAGTGGAAGCCGACTCTGGCGGCGATCGCGGAGGACAGAGTGGCGTTGGCGGTGGAGGAGAAAGAGAGGAGGGAGAAGGAGGAGAGGGCGGAGAAGAGGAAAGGCAGCCGCGGCGGCGGAAGTCGATCACGTGATGGTTCTTCGTTTTACGGCGAGGATTGCAGGTGAAACTATGCCTTTTCTTTTTCTCTTCCTTTTTCCTTCCCCACCTTTCGCTCTCAATACCGGTAGTGGATTTTGGGTTTCCCCTGTTTTTTTTTTTTAATTCTTATTGCGTGGCTCTCTTTGTGTCTATCCAGTCATCACGCCACTAAAAGATGAAAAACCCAGACTAAATAAATCAAAAGTGAAGAATTTACAGCTGAAAGCTGTTCTCTTTTTTTTTTTCTTTTTTCTTTCAGGCGAAGCGGAAATCAGTTCGCCGGCGTTTTCCCCGGTTTCCCGGCGGCGCCGTTCATGATTTAGGGGGGGCTGAAATGATGATTCATGAGTTGTACGGAGATGGTTTTGCTGTAAATACAATAAAGATTTCTGTTTATTGCTTAAAGTAACGGTCTTGTGAATATGCCACTCGCCCTTTTTTCGTATTCCCAACTACCGAGTCCAACTCTTGTGGGAAGTATCGAACTTTTGAACGCGACGTTCTTGATTCTTGAGATACGATGCTCTGTTTTTTTGTCGTCGTCCCACGGCAGAGGACTACTCTGTTTTGGCCCTTTTTGGCAATATGCGGCACCAGCCGCAGCTAAGCTTATGCGCTGTAACTAACTGGGACCTTGTCATATTGTCTTCAATCCGTTGTGATTTGTCCCTTAGCAACGGCCAGTCGATCCAGAAAAACAAACAGAGGACAATTTGATGACTGAGGTGTTCTCGACAGTAGACCAATTCCATTTGGCCCAGCCTCACTGCCATTCTTTGGTTTATGTGGCCAAGTGTTTGGTAACTGGTGCGACAGAGGTGTAAATGTGGCCGTAGCAGCTAGTCAATAATGTTAAAGCATTGCCAGAACTGCTAGGGTAACTAGAGTGGTGGAGATTAGAGACTTGTAGGATAGGATTCACTCCACCGTTTGTGATTTGCTTCTTGCGGGTCCTAATGGGGACGTGGGTTTCAGAGTGATCATTAGGTTTCAGTTGGAAGTCCTACCTTCTTCCACAATGTACATCGAAAAGGAAATCATATGTTCGACCGTAGGGAGAAGGTGTGCAGTTCTCAAAACAAAGAAAGAAATTTATCCGACTAAACCAATGCGGGAAAAAAAAAAAAAAAAAAACCAAGGACATTCCTCTCTCTCAAACTGCTTGTTGGCGGGAACCATCTTTCCCGCCTCCCTCAACCATCCCGGTCATGGTATCATAAAGCGGCTGATTCAACGTCTCCGGCAGGAAAAACGCCAGCCCACCACCCACAAGCCCACACACCGCGAAAACCGCAAACGGGCCGGACCCGCCCATCACCACCACGAACGGCGCCAGGATCGCCCCGAACTGCGACGCCTGCGTCGCACAACCCAGCGCCGCGTTCCTCACCACCGTCGGGAACAGCTCCGCCGCATAGATAAACAGTAAATTGTAAGTCCCGGCCATCCCAAATATCCCCAAAACCCCACACACCATCTTCACCACCTTCCACGCGTCGCCTTCCCCGCCAACCACGCAGCCAAGCAAGCAGAACACGCCGCTAAACCACTGCGTCCCGATCGCCAGCGGCTTCCTCCCAAACCTCTCCAACAAAACCGCCGTCAGCGTGTAGGACGGCATCTCCGCCACCGCGTTGACCAGCACGCTGACGTACAAATTGGTCTCCAAATTGACCACATTGAGGCTCAAACCGTAGTACACCACCGCGGACAAGAAGCTAATCGCCACCGCGAGGACCAGTCGGGTCCGGGTCACGGGCGAGCGGATCACGTCCACCAGCGAACCCGACGCGGTGGTCCCCTCCCCTGCCACGTCGTCATTCGCCACGTCCTCGTCGAGGGCTAAAACGACGCCGTCGGGGAGGTGGCGGCGGTTGGACCTGGCGATGGAGCGCATGATGGACATGGCCTCCGTGACCCGGCCGCGGACTAGGTACCATCGTGGGGACTCGGAGACGAAGGGGATGACGAGGATGAGGAAGAGGAAGGAAGGGATGGAGGAGGCGATGTAGAGTGATCGCCAGGAGGTGGATAAGTAGGCGGCGATGCCGGAGAGGATGGCGATTCCGGTGGAGAAGAAGTAGAAGGTGGACATGCCGGCGGGCCCGCGCTTTGTTGGGCCTATGGGCTCGGTTGCGAGGACGAATGCGCAGAGGCCCACCCCGCCCGTGCTGAACCCGGTCAGGAGGCGGATCAGGAGGTAGGCCCAGTAGTTTGGGGCGAATGCGGTTAGGCAGCCCAGGACGGCGTTGAGGAAGCAGACTACGGTAAGGGAGCCTTTCCGGCCCAGTTTCGAGTCGGAGAGATGGCCGAAGATCCCCGCACCTGGAAACAACCATAGCCAGCAAATGGTAGAAAGTTAAAGAACTTTGACAAAGTCCATTAAAAGCTTAACCAAAAAGCTGTAACGCTCAATGAAAAGAAAACATTTCCTGAACACAAATTGGAACATAACAACTTAGGTCATATAACATCCAAATTTTTTGATCTACTTGAAAAAAAATAAAGTTTAGGTACTAAATTGTAATTTTTTTGGGTACTATATTATTATTATTATAATTTTAAAAACATAGGTGTGTTGATTTGAGCTGACCTATTGATTCGACTAGCCGCACCCCGACCTATGATGATCAGACAAGATCAAGAAGGAAATATAGACGATATTGGACGGGTCAATTATATAAGTAGACCTTGAGCCGATCTATTGATTCGGCTTGCCCCGCCCCGACCTGTGAGGATCAAACGAGGTCAAGAAGAAAATGTGGACGACACTGGACGGGTCAATTATATAAGCAAACCTTGATCCGATCTATTGATTCGGCTTGCCCCGCCCTGACCTATGAGGATTACACAGAGTCGAAAAGAAAATATGGGCGATACTGGACGGGTCAATCATATAAGTACACCATTTAAGGACGGGTTAGACATGATCATAAACGAGTAAGAGGTGGATCAGACCAATTTTCAGCCATACATAGACCTAGAACACATATTAGGTGACCTCTGAGTTTGGTTTCTGACACCACTATGTTCCCTCTTTTCATGATAGCTTTGATTAGCAACACGTGTTCAAATGCTTTGATGACCATATATTACAGAACTGGGGCTGGGTTATGATGATTTAGTTAAAAGGGTAATGATGAATGTGTTAAGAACACATATTAGTTAGAGCCTAATGATACGACTCGTCAGTTCACATGAGGTTAGAAGCACACGTTGGAAGGCAAGGCGAGGCATGTGAGCGTCTCTTCTCCTTTGGTGGGGAAAAAGGGGGTGAGACGTAATGATTTGTTAGCAAGGCTGGAAAGTGAAGAGATTAAAGGGCGCAGATTGCAGAAAGTAAGATGAGCGCCGCGGCGTGGACTGGAGAGGAATCAGAAAGGCTTTTTAAGTTTGAGTAGGTGAAAGAAAACAAAAGAGAAAGAAAGTAAGAGAGACATCATATCTTCAGGAGGTCAGGATAAGCGATAAGGATTTCTATCGAACCACATGCCATGTGTTAGTTTTAAGCATAGTGCTGCTGCTGCTGCTGTTCGGTGCAGCTGCAGATCTGTCGCAATCTGCTGCTAACCCAGCATAATAAGGAAAAAAAGAGAGAAAGAACAAAAGAAAGGGAAGCGTGATTGTCATGGATCGCAGCAGACTATGACACATAGTATATTAGTAATATACTCTGTTCCGTTTGACCGCAACCTTCACAAGTTCATTCCTACTGCTAGTGCTACGCATGTGTGAAAAAGGAGATTTTGACTATTCAATGAATCAGGCGGGCAATAGGCATGACCATGATTTTCTCAAAACATCTTGATTCTCAATCAGACACAAGGGGGACAGAGTCTAGTTACGATGCATCTCTACTAATCCGAATCGACGTAAGTACGTGTTTATAACTCCGTCCGACTGTCACCTAGTGGTGGAGGTAATGCCTCTGCACCGCCAAGTTTGGAGTTTCCAGCGTACTGAAGATTCCCAACAAACGGCTAGAAACACAACAACCCCAAAACGACGACGTAACAAGCCCAAACAGCAGGAAGCAAAACAACAAAAAGGCGAGAAAACAGAGAGGTTGAGATGGACAAGGAGAGTAGGAAATGCGATTTGATTTGGGATTTGGAATTTACCTATCATGCAGCCACCGAAGAAAGCGGCCTGGACCAGCCCGACCTTGTACTTCTCACCGCACACCAGCCCCCACTCGCCCACCGTCGAGCTGTCCGGGCCCCCGGCCCACTCCCACGACCCGGGTTCCAGCCCACAGACCCCTCCTTTCGGGTCGCACGCGCCGGCGCCGCCCAGGCAGCGGAAGTCGGGCTCCCGGTCGGCGAAGATCATCACCATGGTGTGGAACGCCTCCAAAGCCCAGGCCAGGCTGGTGAGGACGAAGTGGCGGAGCTGCCACCGCCCGAACTCGCCGCAGTATTTCTGCAGCATGTCGTCTATCGTCAGCCGCTCGATTACCTTGGCGGATTCGGGTCCCGGGAGGAGGGGATCCCGGAGCCCCGACATCTGGTCCGGCGACGGCGACGGCGGCGCCTCCTTGTTGACCCTGGTCATGTTTTTTTTCTCTTCTCTCCGGCTGGGAGGAGGAGGAGAAGAGGGTGGAAAAAAGATTGATGCTTTCGCAGCGAGATTGAGATTCCTTTCCAGATGCGTTCTATATAAATGGGAGGAGACCGTATTGGCGATTTTTGGCGGCCACTTTCCGATTTGCGGAAAACGGAGTAAAACAAAAGGGGCCGAGGGTTTTTTTGCCAATTTTTCTTCTGTGAGAGGGAAATGTGGACCGTTGATTGTCTATTTCGCCACGTGGACGGTGGGCGAGTGTTCTAATATGATAGGGATTGTACGGGAATGTTCCTTTAGATTCTTTTTCTTTTTTCTGGTCAAATATTGGGTTCTTGTTCTGCTCTCTCAGTTCCCCTGTCTTACTATACTACCAAGTGGAGCAACAAAAACAGGATTGGATTTGAAAGTATGGAAAGCGGCAGTGTGAAAATTGTTTGAAGAGGCTTAGTTGGGACAGAAGAGGGAAAGAGGGTTGCAGATTAAGGCTAAACTACGATCGTGATTGATGGCTCCTAAACGATAATTTAAAATGGTAAACATTGAATACCATAGACAATCAAGTATCTTTTTTTTTATAATAATTTCTTAGAATTTTCAAGCAAACAAATTTATGTTTTCACAACTAAATGTTCGTCTCCATGGACCCTCTACCACCTAGTAGGGGTGGCAACGGGCGAGTCGAGTGGGTTTGGTCTCAAATTGACCCACCCGCTTACTAGCGGGTTGAAATAATTGTTCTTCATTCAACTTAATTGCTTGGAAGAAAGCCTTATAAACCTGAAACATTCTCCTTGTAATGTGCTTTTGAATTACCCCTGTGAAAGTGTGATCCTATACTATACGACAATAAGTGTAATAGGCGCATATGAATATATGATGTTCTCACCAAACTGAAAGGAGAATTGCTATAGTTACTATATTGATTTTGATATTAATGAAGAAACTAGGAATGAGCCCGCGCTCCGATGCGAGATGCAACTCAGTTTTGAAATTCGATGGGTGACTAAGCATTTGTTTTTGTGTGTAGATTTTTCCTCTGAAGAGAATATTACACCTGTATTGTCCAACATTGCAATATAATTATGCACAATAGGCACATTTGTTTGATCCAATAGTGTTCTACTTAGAAAGAATACTACCCTGCTCACCTTCAAAAGCAATAAAAGAGGTGCAAACATTGTATTCTATCTTAGTATGCAGACTCACTATCAAAACTCCATACAACATCTAAGGAACCAATTATCAACCCTCATTACAATAAATTTTATAAATCTCCTATACATAGTGGATATAAAAAAGGGATACATGTCCTCCGCAGATTTCTGTTGCTTTCCACGGACTTCCTTTGATTTTCGATGACTATTAGCACATCATCTTGATTTCTAATAGTTTGTTTGAGAGTTTTATCCAGCTGAACAACCGAGCCTTCTGATTTCCAACAAAGCTCTTATGCAATTTGACAGTCTGGGTCCATTTTCTCACATTCCCCTTTGTTCTGAATTAACAAAAAAAACATAGTAGATCTTTAGAATATATCAACAAAACACATGGTAAAAAATGCACAAAATAGTCAAGGCCATAAGTTCTCTAGTCATTCTGCAGATCAACCTAAACTCTCTGTTTCTGCATATGCATCTCTCCATCGAGGCAACTACATTGAAATGGATCAAATCCATCAAAAAGTTTCGGAAGATTTGAAAGGATAGCCAAACAAAACTCAACCATTCATGAATAAACTATTGAGGTTCACTATAATATTATTGGGGAGCTTTCCATTAGAACATTAGGCTAATCATGGGAACCATAGAATGAAGTTTCCTGATATGGGAATCCGAGGTAAGAAACAATAAATCCCATTCGAGGAAGCAAGAGCTCATGTGTGACATGTCAAGTAAATAACCACAACTGAGGAAGACTTACCCTCATGTTGAAGAAATTCCCTTCCTCGCCATCAAGTGGTGGACATGCTGCAACTCCCGCAAGAACCTGCTTAGAAACGATAGCATTCTATAAGTGAAGGGGTAGAAATTGAAAGTGTCATTAATGTTATTGATCACGCTTTTCATACCCTGATGTAGCTTGTAATTTGAAAAAGGGCCGATCTCTTGTTGCTTATCATTGTTCGAAGGATGAGTCACGAACGCAATATGTTGAAACAGAACAATAAAAAAGAATTTAAGAACTGAAAAAATACAGAAACACTACAATTAAATGGAGATTGAGGTACAAACTCTAGATACCTAAAAGCGTCCATGGAGAAATTGGGGAATAGAAGTAGAGAAAGCGTCCATGGAGATTGTGTGAACCTCACTCGAATGGACACATGTACCGAAACTCCACATGACAAATCGAAAAACAGAGAAAGAGTCAGTATAGCACCTCGTGAACCCAAAACAGGATATAAAAACCAAATTCTTCTTAAAACTTGATGATCCACTCAAATCAGGGAGGCTAAAGAAAAAAAGGGAGTAGGAGTTTTCTATTTTGATTGCAAGAGACTCACCCTCGAAGAAATTCGATTAGCAGGTCACTACTTCTTGCACAACCAATTGCAGCTGCTGGTCACACAGAGATAGAGGGAGAAAACGGGGTAAATAAGCCAGACATCGAATGACTGGAACAATTAGCACTAACGATACCAAAATCCAACCATAAAATACCTAGAACTGAGAGATGGATTCTCGATACAAACCCAAAAACATCCCACATCTTCTCTGATTATGAATAAGAGATCGATTCCATGGAGTTCTCACTTGTTGCGGATCAAAGAACAGATGGAATGGGAGTAGAGTTTACCGGCGACCAACGCAAAGGAACACGTGGAACGCTATCTGCCCTCCAGAACCACCAGCAACCTCCTCGATAGTAGAGTAAAGGGAACCTAAAGCATTCTTTTCCCGGCGAGAAAAGGGATCATGATCATCGGCTGGTTCTTGGCGATCCCCATCTCGCCAATGCCCTGCAAGACCCCGACTTCGTCAGCCAAACTCAAAGGGGAGAATTCTCAGACCAAAAAACCAACAAAATAGTACCTTGATTGCGCCGACGGAGTTGAGAGAAAAGAGAGATTAACAGCGGTGGATCGAGGCGGCGGCGGGGGATTCAGTTCGCTGTTCTGGATGTGTTGGTGACAGCGCTGCGGAAGTCGCTCTTCACGTGCAACATGGTGGAGAGAGACGATGACGCATCTTTCTCCTCCATGGATATTAGATGGCCTACGGAGGTCAGGAACATGTCGTACGTGACCTTCGACCGCTTCAATGGATTCCTCGGCTTGCCCCGCGAGCTCGAGCCCGAGCTTCCCCGGAAAGTCCCCAGCGCCAAGTCAGCTTTCGATTAAGCTGGTGCGTGTTCGATTAGTCACCGGTGAGTTGAGAGAAGAGAGAGAGAGAAAGAAATCTCTGGATTTGTAAATCTGGAAGTAAGATAAAGGAGAGAGATGGAGATTTGGGTAGAAGGTCTGAAGGGAGATCTGGGAAGAAGGGTAAAGTCGCTGGAATTGGGAACTATGTTGGGGTTAGGTGTATTGTGTGGTGGAATTGGAGGGTAGGCAAACAGAAGAGAGGGAAAGGGGAAGCAAGAGGGGGAGGGACAAAAATCAGGGGGAGAGAAGCGAAAATCAGCAGCCACTTGAGGCCGGCGTGATTTTCCAAGAAAAAGCAGGCAGGGAAGCAGAGCGAAGTGGACATGAGGCCTGCGAAACGGCGGCACGGGCTGATGGAACGAAGCTGCAGCCAACGTCAGCAATTGTGGGCCCAAGACAGAGAACCAACCAATCAGCGTTGAATGAATAGTAGAATGTGCCTAGGTGAACAATCCGATGAGTCCGGGACTACAGTGATTGTCCGTTTGTGCGATTAACTCTTTTAAATTACACTCAAGGAAGCGAGGAAAAAGAAGAGGAAGATTGAAGATTTTCTTACAAGAATCTTGTGCTTTTTTAATTATGCAATTTTGCCATTTGTTCTCTCTTTCATTAATGGCATGCTCTTTCATTCAGGCCATGCCATCATACAAAGTCGGAATCAAACGAAGAGCATTCTTCCTTCTGAGTGATGTTCCATAGTTTTCAGCCATATCGATGCCTTCTTGTTTCATTTCCGATGGAAGTTCCCATCGAAAGTGATAGAGCAGATTCGCTAGCGCGAGTTTAACAACCACCATCGCGAAAGAAATCCCAGGACATACTCTTCTCCCTGCTCCGAATGGAATGAAATGAAAATCATTCCCCTTGTAGTCGGTTGAGCAATCTAAGAATCTCTCTGGGTGGAATTTCTCGGGCTCGAGCCAATGACGGGGATCTCGATTGATCGCCCAGGCATTCACAATGACTTTGGTGTTGCTTGGCACAACATATGCATCGAGTTCCACCTTTTCTCTATTTTCTCTTGGAAGGAGTAGAGGAAGCGGAGGATGCAACCTTAGACCTTCCGAGATGACCATATCTAGGTACGACAGCTGCTGAAGGCTTGCTTCGCCCACATCTTTTCCGCCCTCAGCACCTAACGTTTGACGGACCTCTTCCTGAACCTTTTGAAGCACTCTTGGACTTTTTATAATTTCAGACATGGTCCATTCCATCGCAGCTAGTGATGTCTCGGTACCAGCTAGGAACAACTCCTAATAATGAGAGCAAAAATCAAACTTGCATAAGTTAATAGACATATATGAGGCAGAAATTGAAAGGTATTCATGTATAGTTGTTTTGCAATTTTACGGATTAATATTGTAGACCAAAATTACACACAAGGACAAAAAAGAGCTAGTAAAATAAGCATAATGTACTTACCAAAGTAATTGCTTTTATAACTTCCGTTGTAATGGGTATTCCAAGGTCATGTCTCTCTTGCAGATTCAGAAGGACATCAATAAGATCCTCTTTTTCGCCATCATCTTTTCTCCCCGCCCTTCTCCTCGAATTATGTTCATCGATGATTCGATCCAGCACCGAATCCGCTGCTTTACGCATCTCGACTAGTTTTGCTCTGTACCCAGTGAGCACAGGGAGCAATTTGACGGAAGGATAGAGATCGGAGATTTTGAAACCAGTACATACATCCGAAATGTTGTCGACGACCATCTGAAACGCATCGTTCAGCTCCTGTACTCTGCCGAACGCCGCCCTGGAAGTGATCGTACTGGTTAATGTAAGCAGCATCCGTGTGAGGTCCACAGGCTCCCCTGCATCCGCCGAGCGAGAAATTCCGGCCACGAGATTGGAGACCTCTTCTTCCCTGACGTGGCGGAAGGATTGAACACGTTTGGCGCTGAATAGCTCCAGGGTGCAGATCTTGCGCATCTGCCTCCAGTGCTCTCCGTAGGGCGCCAAAGCTATGTCCTTGCGGCCGTAGTAGAGTACATCAGCAACCAGGAGATAAGGCCTGGTTGCGAAAGCTACGTCGTGGGTTTTCATCACGAGCTTGGCGGCTTCAGGGGTTGAGATTACGATGTAAGGGAGCTCCCCGAGCTGGAGGCGCATCACGTCGGGGCCGTATTTGCGGGCCAGGTCCCTGAGCCGCCGGTGGGGCTGCTCGCCGATCATCTGGTGGATGTTGCCTATGACGGGGAGCTTCCATGGGCCCGGCGGCGAATTCGAAGCGGCGGTTTTGGTCCTCTGCTTTTGGGTGATGGAGAAGGTGACTGCAAGGATGATTGCTAGTGTGAAGAGGCAGGGGATATTGAATGCTTCGAAGGAGGAAGAGAAAGAGATCATGTTTTGGCGGAGATGCTCCATGGTAATGGAAGTTGTCATTGTGGATCAGAATCACCCAATTGCTGTTATGCTCTGTTTTCCGATCCCCTGCCACAGCTTGTTTTGTTATATTGTGGAGAATGACGAAGGGATTTCCCAATTTATTATCCATCTTCGCCGGCTGCCGGCTGAAGCGAGAGGGTGGTTCACTACATCAATGTGTATGATGACAAATTTTCAATTGGTTTGTGGTGTGAATATTTTTAACAATGATTAGGAATATTCTTGCTGGACATATTTTGTGAATATTGTAACCGTTATTAATATTCATAAAAAATGTGTTTATGAGAATTTTCATAATAGTTGTTGGAATTATTCTGATCCTTTTATAGTTGACCTGGCCTGATTGAACATATAGGTTTATATTGCTAATGTTATTTGTGGTCAATTGATATAAAGATGGTAGTTAACAAATTATATTTGGTAACGTGACATGCTAATGTGTTCAATTAATTTGGAACAGGACAATGGATTTGTTGGCTGATTAGTACTGACATAAGTTAATCTTTTCTTTGAAGAATATTGGGTAAGTGGCTCTTTGTTAGTAACCCAAAAGACAAGTGACCATTAATGTATTTAAACCTATGTGACGTGAACGAGATAAACCCTTGCTTAAATAAAAAGATCAAAATTGAGTAGGGGATTTAATCCAACCTCATGTCCGTACCCTAGCCAGACCGTTTTACAACCAGGTCCTCGAATCTTCAGTCTTCTTCTCCCCCCTCCTCCCCGCAGCTCTCTACTCCCAAACCTTCCTGCCACCACTTGGGTCCCTCCACCAAAAGGCTTTTTGAAGATCAATGTCGACGCAACTGTTTGTGCCTCCGGGTGTTCGTTTGAGCTTGTTATCCGTGGGTCAGACGGGCATGTGATGTTGGCGTTCGGGTTGCAACATCAAGGAATAGTCAACCCTTATCTGGCAGAGCTTCTAACTTTCAGGGATGCTATCTCCTTTGTAGCCTCAAGATCCTTGACCCACGTGATAGTCGAAGGTGATTCCGAAGTGGTCGTCAACCAAGTCCGTCAAGGCGTCTTAGAAGACTCGATTGGTGGTTCGGTGTTACGAGAGTGTCTTTAGATCCTTAGCTCTTTGTCTGTTTGTATAGAGTTTAGGGCGGTACCTAGATCCACCAATAGTGCTGCCCATAGAGTGGCGCGTAAAACACTGCTTGTCTCGTGTAGAGCTAGAATCTTTTGATTTTTTGGGAGGCTTCTTTAGAGTCTTTTAGAAGGTACTGGGTAGAATTGTAAGCTTAACTATTATTTTTCATTGATATAACTCAGAAATAAAAAGAGTAGGGGATTTAATCATATCTTGACCTCTGTCATCGATTACTCCGTTAACAAAATTTTATTGTGAATTATTTGGGGTTTGTGGAAAAAGTTAAAATTATCTGTAGTAATTAGTATTGTAAATGGGCAAGCTGAGTTTACTAGTTATGGCTTCATACTCGTTTACTTAGATATAGAAGGCATATCTTAGATCTCTACAATCACAATGGATTACTCAGGTTACTGTATTTTATTGTGAATTATTGGGTTTTGCCTTTTGAGAAAAGTTAAAACCCTTTGTTGTTAGTTTCGTTAATTATGTGAACTTTCTGCACAAATAAATATCGAAATAGATTTCATTTCATATATCTGGAATATAGTAAGACTTCATACTATATCATCACTAACATATTTGAAGTTCGACAACATGTGTAATAGACACATGATGTTTTCACCAAACTGAAAGTAGAATGGCTGTAGTTACTAAATTGTTTTTGATAGAAATGAAGAAATTACAACCAAGAACGTGGGGAAAAGGAAAATAGTAGATCTCCTAACGAGAATCTTCACTTATTTATTATCCAATTTGTCGTTGGTTCTCTCTTTAGTTAGGCCTTCACATCATACAAAACTGGAATCAAACGAAGAGCATTCTTCATTCTGAGTGATGTTCCAAAGCTTTCAGCCATATCGATGCCACTTTGTTTCATTTCGAATGGAAGTTCCCATTGAAAGCGATAGAGCAGATTCGCTAGTGCGAGTTTAACAACCACCATTCCGAAAGAAATTCCCGGACATACTCTTCTTCCTGCACCGAAAGGAATGAAATGGAAATCGTTCCCCTTGTAGTCGGTTGAGCAATCTAAGAATCTCTCAGGGTGGAATTTCTCAGGGTCGACCCAATGACGTGGATCCCGATTGATCGCCCAGGCATTCACAATGACTTTGGTGTTGCTCGGCACAACATATGCACCGAGTTCCACCTTCTCCCCATTTTCTCTTGGAAGAAGTAAAGGAATCGGAGGGTGTAACCTCAGACCTTCCGAGATAACCATATCCAAATATGTAAGTTGATGAAGGCTTGCTTCGTCCACATCTTTTTTGCCCTCGTCGCCGAACATTTGGCGGACCTCCTCCTGGGCCTTTTGAAACACTCGCGGATTGTTTAACATTTCAGACATTGTCCATTCTATCGCTGTTGATGATGTCTCAATACCAGCTACGAACAGTTCCTAACAATAAGAGCAAAAAAAAAAAAAAAATCAAACTTAAGCAAAAAAATAGACAAATATGCATATACGAGGCAGAAATTTAAAGGTACTTACCGTAGTGACTGATTTTATGACTTCCATGGTAATGGGTATTCCAAGGTCATGTTCCTCTTGACAATTCAAAAGGACATCAACAAGATCCTCTTTTTCACCACCATTTTCCCTCCCCGCCCTTCTTCTCGACTTATGTTCATCGATGATTCGATCCAGCACCGAATCTGCTGCTTTACGCATCTCGACCAGTTTTGCTCTGTACCCAGTCAAAACAGGGAGCAATTTGATTGAAGGATAGAGATCGGAGATTTTGAAACCAGCACAGACATCCGAAATATTGTCCATGACCATCTGAAACGCGTCGTTCAGTTCCTGTACTCTGCCGAACGCCGCCCTGGAAGTAATCGTACTGGTTAATGTAAGCAGCATCCGTGTGAGGTCCACAGGCTCCCCTGCATCCGCCGCGCGAGACAGAGCAGCCACGAGATTCGACACCTCTTCTTCCCTGATGTGGCGGAAGGACTGAACCCGTTTGGCGCTGAAGAGCTCCAGGGTGCAGATCTTGCGCATCTGCCTCCAGTGCTCTCCGTAGGGCGCCAAAGCTATGTCCTTGCCGCCGTAGTAGATTATGTCGGCGACCAGGAGAGAAGGCCTTGAAGCGAAGGCTAAGTCGTGGGTTTTCATCACCAGTTTGGCGGCTTCAGGGGTTGAGATTACGATGTGAGGGAGCTCCCCGAGCTGGAGCTGCATCACGTCGGGGCCGTATTTGCGGGCCAGGTCCCTGAGCCGGCGGTGGGGGTGGTCGCCGACCATCTGGTGGAGGTTGCCGATTACGGGGAGCTTCCATGGGCCCGGCGGCAGGTTTGAAGCTGCGGTTTTGGTCCTCTGCTTTCGGATGATGAAGAAGGTGAGTGCAAGGATGGTTGCGAGTGTGAAGAGGCAGGGGATGTTGGATATTTGGAAGGAGGATGAGAAAGAGATCATCTTTATTGGAAGTACTCTTTGAGTCTTTGTGGATCAGAAACACCCATTTACCGTTTGTTATATTTATGGAGAATGACGGGGGATTTATCAATGATGTCATGAATTGGAGTATAGATCTGTATAATTGAATGGTTAATATATTAACGGTTTAACTAGTATTATATCATTAAAAATCATCGATGAACCGGTGATTAGTAAACAAGAATATATTGTTATAAGTATAGGCACACTAAAACATGAGGGTACTACTTAAAAAAAAAAAAATTAAGTACTGAAATTCTGAAGTCTATAACGTTACATAAAGACCATCAAAATCTTAAATTTCTCAATTTAAGACCTACGATCCGAAATTCAAAATTTTACAAATATATCAATTGGCATTCTCAATCGACATGTATCTGAATATTAAATAAGATAAAAGAAATAAAAATACAAAAAATATAACCTAATCTATCAATTTAATTAATGAAAATCATGGTTAAAAAAGGCACACTTAACCTTACATTTAGGCATGCAAGGCAGTGGCAAAACGCCTCGCCTAGGGGGTTTCACCCCTAATTAGATACTCGAACACGCCAATAGAGTAAAGCGACATAAAGTCTCTCCTAAACATTACTAGATGGAGCTAGGAAGTCAATATTAATGGGAAAAAATTAACATCAACTACGAAATCAATTTTCTGTATCATTATCTTCAACAACTTAAGAAATTTGTGAGCTATTGAGCTATGATTATGTGAAATCGGGAGCTATGCTCTTGACATTAAGAGTTGAGTAAGTTATTAATCATTTTAACTGAAGTGAGAGTGTTGTAGATTATTGATTCATTCATCATGCAACGCGAATAGCTGTTTTTCTTCCAACGCCTAGACACGCTTAGCCTACGCCTAAGCAAGGTAGGCGCTAGTCAAAGGCTTATCGCTCGCCTTCCGCCTAGCGCCTTTTTGAACCTTGATGAAAATACAAAAATCCCCAACAATTGATACTTGCAATTCCAACAGATGGTGGGTCTTGGGTGTCAGATGTGAATTAATAATTACAATTTCCAGCGCCTGAACCCATGCGCATCACGGTGCCCAAATTTTATTTTGTGTTTAATTGGACGGTTGGAGTGTGCTAGAAGTGATTAGCAATTTCAAACGCTTCAAATGGTTGTTAATTTCGTCAATCCCCACTCATTATTTGGTTTTAATTAGTTATATCAACATGTCACAGCATTCAAGTTGATTTAAAATAGGTAACATTAACAGAGATGAGAGCTAGTTAACTAGTGGGGTTAATTAAAAAATGTATGATATGTTACTGTTTGTTATTGACCCCAAATATACGTGACCATTCATGTAATTGACCTCATGCAACGTGACTACGTGAGCGAGACAAGTCTGACTTGAGAGTAAAAAAAATAGAAGGAGATCTAATCGTATCTCCATCTCTCCAATGGGATACTTAATTTACATTTTTATTAGATTTTTTTTTTTACAAAAGATAATCTTATATTAGATTAATTATGTGAATTATTTGGTTTTTTGTGTTTCAAAAAAAGTTGTCATAATTCCATCTCTCCCTGTTGTAATTCGTCAACATGGATAATTAATGACATTTCCAATTGGTCAATGGAGCAGTTGAGTAGGGCAACATCCACATGATTCAACTGTTTGTTAGTTGAAAAGATGCTGCTAAAGTTATATGATTGAATTGTACATATGTCGACTAATGCATGTTATATTTTTCTTAATTTTATTTTGTGATATGATATGCAAATGTCTTGTATATTTTGAGGCGGTGCTTCAGTAAAAGTATTTAAGTGAAGAATACTTGGGTCAAGAGGTTTTTAGTTACTTATGAAAACGTAACACAACGTCATAGCTCAATTCAATTAGAATGGCATAATTAATTACCTTATAAGAAAGGAGGAATCGAACACTTAGTTTTTGCATATGGTTAATTCGACGAATGCATTATTTGTTCATCGTATCTTTGTATCAATCTCATTTGAAGAATAGTTGCACTTATGCGAAACTTATTTCAGATCACCGGACAAACATAATATAAGTTATGGAATGATGAGAGGGGGTGTGATGTGTTGATGTCGAATGTTTGACACCCCCTAATATAACACTTGATTTGGCAAAGGAAAAGGACAGAGGATACATAAATAAGGCTAAACCACAAGTATGATCAAGAAATGATGCATATGGAAGCAAAAGATAACCACGAATCCATATTAAGCATCTCTCCCCTCTCCCAAGTTCACGTGATGGTATGGAACAGGAATCAAATGGAGAGGATATTGTCTCCTGAGCGTTATTCCAAAGCATTCCGTCATATTAGTGGTTTTCTCTTCGGTAGGAAGTGCCCAGTCAAAATGGAAAAGCAAACCTGCTAGAGCAAGTTTCACGATCGCCATTCCGAACGAAACGGAAGGAACTGAAAATCATTCCCCTTGTAATCGGTTGAGCAGTCCATAAATCTTTCCGGGTAGAACGTATCCGGCTCCTTCCAGTACCGAGGATCCCGACCGATCGCCCAGACGTTCACGATGACGTTGGTGTTGACCGGGACCTCGTACGAATCGAGTTCCACTTTCCGGTCTCTGTTCTGTCTCGGAGCAAGCAAAGGGACCGGCGCGTGCAGTCTCAAACTCTCGGAGATCACCATATCCAGATACTTCAACCGATGAAGGCTCTCCTCGTTAAAGTTGTTCCTGCACTCGTCGCCGAATACCCGCCTCGCTTCCTGTTGTGCTTTCTCCAGCACTCTCGGACTGTTCATCATTTCCGACAGAGTCCACTCCACCACAGTCGTTGCTGTCTCGATCCCAGCGAGAAACAATTCCTAATAGAATTCCCATACCGTAAGTTTTGGTGTTAGCGAACTTCTACTCACAAATTTATCGAAACCGAACTAAGTTAACCACCATATCGATAATACTCACCAGAGTTACTGCTTTTAAGACCTCCGTCGTGATGGGAACTCCAAGATCATCCTGGTTTTCTTGAAGATTCAGAAGCACGTCGACAAGATCCTCTTTTTCATCACCACTACTCTTAATTCCCTCCCTTCTCCTGGATTTATGCTCATCGATAATCCGATCCAGCACCGAATCCGCCGCTTCACGCATCTTCTCCAGTTTTGCTCTGTATCCAGTGAGGACAGGGAGTAATTTGAAGGAAGGATAGAGATCAGAGATTTTGAAACCCGACATAACATCCGAGACATTATCCACAACGGTCCGAAACGCATCGCTCAGCTCCTGCACTTTACCGAATGCTGCCCTGGAAGTGACGGTACTCGTCAGCGTGTGCAGCAACGGGCCCAAATCCACTGGCTCCCCTGAAGCCGCTGAGCGAGACAGAGCAGCGACGAGATTGGAGACCTCTTCTTCTCTTATGCGGCGGAAGGATTGAACTCGTTTGGCGCTGAAGAGCTCGAGGGTGCAGATCTTGCGCATCTGGCGCCAGTACTCGCCGTAGGGGGCGAAAACTATGTCCTTGCAGCCGTAGTAGACTATGTCCGGGCCGAGGAGGTAAGGCCGGGAGGCGAAAGCTAGGTCGTGGGTTTTCATCACTAGTTTGGCGGATTCAGGGGTAGAGATTACGATGTAAGGGAGCTCGCCGAGCTGGAGGTGCATCACGTCGGGGCCGTATTTGTGGGCGAGATCCCTCAGCCGGCGGTGGGGTTGGTGGCCGGCGAGCTGGTGGAGGTTTCCGATTACGGGGAGCTTCCATGGCCCCGGCGGCGAGTTTGGAGCGGCGGGTTTGGAGGACCTCTGTTTTTGGGTGATGAAGAAGGTGACTGCAAGGATGGTTGCTAGAGTGAAGAGGCAGGGGATGTTGAATCCTTCGAAGGACGAGAAAGAGAGATATTCCATGGCAAATAATGAAACTCATAGTGTGGATCATGTGGGTTGATTATATTGATGGTGAAGGCATGTGATGTGGTTTTTGGTAATTAAATTATCTTATTATTCATTTTAAGTTTTTTCATTTAAACCAGAACCAAATCAAAGTCATATTCTTTCGTTCTCTTCTTCGAAACGAAAAAATTTCATGCCTTTCCTCTGACGCCATCGGAATATTGTTTGACATGTTTTTTTGGTAAAACAAGTTAACGTAAAAAAAAGTAATACAAGAAGAGAGTTAATAAAGGAGCCATCGGATTGTATGACATGTTGATGTAATAGATTCGACGGGAAAATAAATTGTACAGTCATTAGTATAATGTAGATAATCATTTCCTTACGGATGCCTCTGGACGGCTGAAAGAACTTTGAGGGTTGACCATTGAACAAGACCGAAAACCGCACAGTCTCAATGCACTCCTTGATCCAAAGACAACATTGATGTGCAAAACCCATAGCTCTAAGGATACTCTCCAAACACTCCCACTCAACCATATCGTAAGCCTTCTTCATATCCAGCTTAATCATCATTTCTCACTTCCCGCCTTTTGGGCGAGTCTTGAAATGGTGCACGACCTCATGGACAATGATGATGTTATCCTGAATAGCTCTCTCTCCACTAAAAGCCGTTTGCATCTCATCAACCAGTTGAGGGATCCAAACATTAAGTTTTGTTGCCATGATTTTGGATATCACCTTGTACCGGAAGTTGCAACAACTAATAAGCCTGAATTGGGATACTCTCTCCGGGTTCAAGATCTTCGGTGTTAGCACCAAGTGAGTATCGTTCCATCCCTCGGGCATTGAGCTTTGTGAGAAGAAATTTCAAAAATTCCCGATATTTTTACACGCGACCTCCAAAATTTTCGGGGGGCCGGGGCCCCCTCGAGGTACAAGGTAGCTCAGCCCGGCCATCGAATTGTATGACATGTTTTTCGGTAAAGCAAGTTAACGTAAAAAAAAAGGTCATGCGAGAAGAGAGTTAATAAAGGAGCCATCGGATTGTATGACATGTTGATGTATTAGATTCGACGGGAAAATAAATTTGTACACTCATTAGTACAAATGTAGATAATCATTTCCTTAAAAAGGTTAAACATAGTTATGATTTTGTTAGGTCCCCCAAACTTAAGGGACTATTTGTATAATTTATTCTTCTCATGTGTAGGAGAAAACAAATCGGACTATTCAACAAAAATCGAAGGAATCTAATATTATCTGTCTCGCTCTCTGCAATAGAATAATTTAGTTTAGAGTTTTATATGGGATTAATTATTTTAATGGTCAGGGTCAAGGAGTAGTTGAGGAGGACAATTATTTGGAGATGATTGTCATTTTTCAATAAGTTGAAAAATTATTTTGGCCTTATTATTAACACATTTTAATTCTCATCGACTCGTCTTTTCATACTTTGTATTTGGATTTTAGGCTTAGCTGTTAGGCTTCATTTACGAGATGTTAGCATTTCTTGTAGTAGGGTTTTGAATATAGATACCAGATTTGATAGTTCATATAGTACTATAACAATTGTTTTTTTAGGAAATAAAAACCTTACAAAATGCAGAACATAATGGCCGGATTAAGGAAATTACACATGTTGGAACATTATAAAGCACAAAAATATAATGAGCATCTTTATTAGCATTTGATTTTCTTTTATTCAAAGCACGGGACCATAAGGAACTGGAATCAGACGGAGAGGATATTGTCTTCTGAGTGTCATTCCAAAGCATTCCGTCATATCAATGCTTTTTTGTTCAGCAAGGAGTGTCCAGTCAAAATGGAAAAGCAAACTTGCTAACGTAAGTTTCACGACCGCCATCCCGAAAGAAACTCCAGCACACATCCTCCTTCCGGCACCAAATGGGATAAAATGGAAATTTGTCCCGTTGTAATCGATTGGGCAGTCAATAAATCTTTCCGGGTAGAATCTCTCCGCCTCCGTCCAATAGCGAGAATCTCGATTGATCGCCCAGGCATTCACGATCACATATGTGTTCATTGGGATATCATATGAGTTGAGTTCCACTTTCTGATCTTTGTTTTCTCTTGGAGCAAGCAAAGGAACCGGTGGGTGTAATCTTAAACTCTCGGAGATGACCATGTCCAAATACTTCAATTGGTGAAGACGTGCTTCGTTAAAATTGTTGTTCCGACCATCACCAAATACTTCTCTGACCTCTCGTTGTGCTTTTTCTAGCACTCCCGGATTCTTTATCATTTCCGACATGGTCCACTCCAATGTTGTGGCTGCTGTATCGACTCCAGCAATAAATATTTCCTAATAAAGTTGGTATTGTGAGTATGTTAAATAAAAAAAAATGAGCATCTCATATACCGGCATCAGCTAAATTGTAACCAACAGCTAATTAAATTGAGATCACTCACCAGAGTTACTGCTTTAATGACCTCCGGTGTGATGACTTCAAGATCCTGGTTTTCTTGAATATTAAGAAGAACGTCAACAAGATCCTCCTTTTCATTATCATCATCATCGCTACTTTTCATTCCCGCCCTTCTCCTCAATTGATGCTCGTCGATAATCTGGTCCAATACCGAATCTGCTGCTTCACGCATCTTCTCTAGTTTGGCTCTGAATCCAGTGAGAGTTGGAAGCAACGTAAGAGAAGGATAGAGATCAGAGATTTTGAAACCTCCGGTAGCGTCCGAATAGTTATCCAGAACAGTCTGGAAAGCACCGCTCAGCTGCTGCACCTTACCGAATACCGCCCTGGAAGTGACGGTACTCGTTACAGTGAACAAAGCACGGGTGAGATCCACAGGCTTTCCTGCCGCGAGAGAGGACACGAGATTCGACACCTCTTGTTCCCTTATGTGTCGGAAGGACTCGACGCGCTTGGCGCTGAAGAGCTCGAGGGTGCAGATCTTGCGCAGCTGCCTCCAGTACTCTCCGTAGGGCGCGAAACCTATGTCCTTGGTGCCATAGAAGAGTACATCTACGGCCAGGAGGTGAGGCCGTGAAGCGAAAGCTATGTCGTGGGTTTTCATCACCAGCTTGGCGGCTTCAGGGGTTGAGATTACGATGCAAGAGAGCTCCCCGAGCTGGAGGCCCATGACGTCGGGCGCGTATTTGTGGGCCAGGTCCCTGAGCCGGCGGTGGGGTTGGTCGCCGACCATCTGGTGGATGTTGCCTATTAGGGGAAGCTTCCATGGTCCCGGCGGCGAGTTTGAACCGGCGGTTGTGGATAGTTTTCTATGGTTTCGGATGAACAAGGTGGCTGCAAGAATAATGGTTGCGAGCGTGGAGAGGAAAGGGATGTTGAACAAGGAAGAGGAAGAGAGCATCATCTTTTTGGATGAGAGGTTTTCCATGGTAATGAGGATCTGAAGAGTGAAAGAGCATCATCTATTGCTGATGTTACTTGTTTAATTATATTTTCTATTTCAGATCTTTTGAGTACATCTTCAATGCATGCAAAAAATATTGAAGTGCCAAAATGTCAAAGTCTTAGATTTAGGGGACTAATTTGATCCCAAAAAAAATTTGAAAATGTTACGAAGTGGTGACAGTATGGTCACTCGAGTGGTATCTGGTGATACAAAAATGTTTTCTCTGAGATGTATTGAAAATAAATATCATTTTGTAGATCATAGTAAATCCGTTCGAAATGTGCAAATATATTTTGAAATTCAAGTTAAAAACGAAGAAGATGCAAGCCGATTATAATTAAGGGGCCAAGATCGAGCCGATTATAGGTTTTTTTTTTATCTCACGCCTTAGATCTAGCCCCACCGAAAAATCAAGAGGAAAGATCGGATTAGGCATAAGTGCATTGTTGGAATTAATTTAATTAATGATGATGCTTAGATATGGTAGAAGGTTGTTTTAAGAATAGATGAATCAATAATCATATTTTATTTATTGATGACATAATATTTGATGATGAATTCAAATTTAAGAAGTTGCATCTTAAATTTTATTTTAATTAATTATTACTACTTATATAAAAATAATACTCAAATTATCTAAATAAAATGATGAAATCACTAAACTAAATTGAGAAAAAATTAAATTTGGACATTTTGGCATTTCCACTCTATCCGTAAATATTTTTAGTGGGACTAGAATGTCAAATTTAACTCAAAACTTGAAATTTTGACACTAACCATAAAAGATGGTATGAATTATATAATCAGTAGTAAACATATGCTAACCTGATTTAATTAATATAAAAATTGGTTGCATGCGATGATGATAGCTGATCTCGACAACTAATTTAACCAAAAATTTTATTGGGTAACGTGACGTGCTAATGTGTATGTGCTTAATTAATTTGGGGCAGTAATCAATTCAAATCTTACTGTCGTAGCTCAATGACCTAATTATTTAGCCTGAAGATCGATATCCTATTTAAGACCACATAGCACCTTATTTTGCTAGCACATTCGTGATATCTTGGCTGTAGAGGTATGGATTAAATTGATTGGAACATGTGAATTAATCTGGATAGGATAGGTAGTGAATCCCGGTGTTTCTCCCAGAGCTTTCTCCCATTGATTTAAACCCGACAGTTTAATTTGCTTTATGATTGGTGTGAGTAAGCCAGACTGTCCTCATTCCGAAACTGGATTTTTAGGCAAACTTAGTACGACCGACATAATTTATCTTTTCTTTGGAAAAATACAGGAGAAGTCATAAGTGGCTGTTTGTTAGTTAGCCAAAAGACAAGTCACCATTAATTAATGCTTCTTCGACTTGCCGACAGCTTCTTGTGGGTGGTTTCCGTCGCTTCAGTTCATGCTCCTCTTGTGGAAGCGACTTTGGCTTCTGTTCTGGACGGCAAGCTTCATGCGATGAGGTGGTTGGTCGACGTTTTGAGCCTGAGGTGTGCATCGGCGGCGGCTCTCAATCAGCAGCACCGGCAGCAATAGGTGGTAGGTTTTGATTTAGGGTTTTTGCTCATATCATGTTTTATGGGCTTTTTAGTTTCATGAAGTTGGTTTGTGGTTGGACTCTTTTCCCTTTTGTGGACTGTTCCTCCTTGGACTTGGCCCATGTATCTGTCCTCTCTTTGGAATCATCATTAATGAAACTCCAATATTCAGAAAAATAAAAATAATATGGTGGCTAGCTCGGTTCGGTCCGTTGAATTGAAGGACACATCCATATATTCAACGCCGGGTCATTTATCACGAGCATGAACCATGTTAACCTGGTGGATCCCTGGCGCCATATGAGCGCTTGGTTTCACCAAACTACACTATCGCTCCAGTGGGTGGCCTGCGACTTATCATCCAAGTCTACTCTTAGTGAAATTAGCCCTAATTTATTTGATAAACTAAATAAGATCTAGGTTTTAATCTTTTAGGCTTAGAACATATCTCAAACTTTGGTCAATTCAAAGTCTAGATATCATTTTCTTATTTGGTGTATGTGGTACTGATCGTATTCGTACTAAAAATCAATTTCTTTTTGGAATAAACACCATTCTTTTAACTCTTTGGAATGTTACCAGCCTTGTGTAGTCCAAACCATGTTGTCAAAAAAACTGGACAATAAAAATAGATGATGAGTATCTGATCGAATTTTTTAGATCATATAAAAATACAAGGTTCAATCAATTCTATAGACCTATTAAGATATCTAAATACATCACTATAATTTTACTTGACACCTATCATAATGATAAACGGCTGAGCATCTCGCCATCTCCAAAAAGCGGCTCATCTCAAAATGCATTCTTTTTACCAATTAGCCACATCCAGTCTAGCACGACCCCGACGCATATACCAACCAACAAGAAGAATACAAGCAGATTCCCCAATGCATTCTGCTCCGGACCCTGCAGCCAATCCACACGATGTCTTAATTATAGTACTTAAACGTTGAGGTCAACAGTTTTACCAGATTAAAAACATGTTAAGTTTTCGTACACAGGAACAATAACAGGAGTTGGGTAATAATTAGTGTCAAGAACCAGTTGATCCCAATAATTCGAGTTGTTGGGAGAAGTTCAATCGTGTATCATATACCACAACACTAACACGCCCCCTCAAACGAAAACCACTCACAAGGGCTTGAAGTTTGCACAGGTCTAAAGACAAGAATACTATGTGCTTAACAAATGGGGGTCATCGGGAATCGAACACGGACCTCTCGGTCACAGAAGACTCTGATACCATGTCAAGAACCAGTTGATCCCAATAACTCGAGTTGTTGGGAGAAGTTTGATCGTGTATCATATACCACAACACTAACAATTAGGAGATAAGCTAACCTTGTAACCCTTGGGCGCCGAGGTCATGACGCAAACCGTGAGGTAGCCGTTTGTGAGGCCTAGCAGCAGAGTGAGAGCAATCATCCATCCTTTGTCACCATACTTGGCCGTGAAATAAAATGCAGGGACGAGCAGGAATCGAGCTAGGGCTGCCATCATCAGTCCCCTGCGTGACCTCAGCTTAATCCGTTCCACTAGAATGACATAGCGCCCTAACAGATCCCCGCTGTTGAACATTGCAATTAGAACTAGCATGTACCTTGAGAGACAAGGAAACGTTGAGGATACCTTAGGGTTAGTAGGCGGCTGTATTTAAGTGTTGTTTTAGCCGCGTGTAATCTCTGAGGACTCCAGTTTACGTAATTCCACTGACTCCGAGAGGTTTCTACCTCTCCGCGTGGATTAGTTTCAACGTATAACGTTGAGGTTACCACGTAAATCTCGTGTCCCGTTTTATGTTTGATTTCATGTTTTGACGCACACTTTGAGAGAGATTGTGTTAATACTTAAAATACTCACCAGGAACCCAAACGATGGGTGCCGGTGTTTTCCGAGATGAATCCAGGAAAGATTGACAGCGTCAGCATGTAAACAAGAAACAAGACTGTTGCGTAATCCATGTTCTGAATTAGTAACTCTTTGCTGCTTAGTCGAACATGTGGTTTGGAGCCTCTTTCTCCCTTATAAATTAAAGAAAAGGAAATTTGTCAAACTATGTGACAAAGAACAACGACACACCATTAATAATTCAATATCCACGTATTGCATGCAATAAAGAGTGGTTGACGAGATAATTATGTGATTCGTTGATGAGATTCGTGAGATTTCGTGACAAAATCGGTTCATGGATTGATTGATGAAATTAGCGAGGTAAATTAAATGAAAAGATGAGGTCATATATGTGAATTTGCATAAATAGTTATGTACATGAATAATGTGAAAAAAAAAATTATGACGTGTAAGGTTGTCAAACCGGTTTGTGCCAGTGTGCCGGTTTAGCAAGTGGAATGGTTCGACCGGTGGTACATACCGGTTTGTGCCGGTTCATGCCGGTTGATATTACAAATAATTTACAAATACTCATATTTAAGCACGACATTTAACGTCAATACCTAAATATTTGTACTTGAATCCAACAAATAACATCAACATTTAACTTTTTAACACATAAAATACTTTTTATCAAATAAATTCACTAATATAAGATCATTTTACTTAGAGATTCGTATATCGATCATGCCGGTCATACCGATGGTGTCATACCGGTTTTATGACCAGTACAGGTTGAACCAGGTTCAACCAGTGGTACGCTGGCCGGCGTGACAACCATGTGTACCTGATTGGTAGTTGGTGTGTGTATGCCAGCAGCCTTAAGGTCAGCTGACACCGTCTTGGATCCTTCCATGGACGCTTTATTGCGGTAGTAATTAACTATGGGGATTTTGGGTAAGTAGAATGCGTAGAGCAAAAAACAGAGGAATTCCATGGATGTCGAGATCGCCATAAACAAAACTGCGAAAGAATTAAAGAGCTAGAGTTTAATTATATACATGAATCAAAATTAAACTCAGTAGTTTTGATTCAATGATGTGTGGTAAAAAAAAAAAAAAAAAATCAACGTACGAACTCCATTGCGAAGGCCATAACTAGCATTTTCAAAAGCGGCTTTCGTGATCAACCTTAAGCCTGCGGTCATGGCGCCACATGCAGCCATGCCAGCATAGTAGGACTGCACATTTTTTTTTTTTAACGACGTTAAGTCGCAAAGTGCTACTGAAGGGATTTGAACCTGGCGCGAGGTTCGTTCGCGAATTTCGGCAAGTGTGTTTGTGAGGAGAGTAAAAAAGTATTTCACCTGGATGAATTCAGGGCACATCAGAGACAGGTCACCGACCATCCCGCCGTTCACCTGGACATCTGCGACTCCGAAGATTCCAACGACGGCACAGATTCCTACGAAAGGTCCGATCCCTCCCTTGCCTGAAGTGGCAAGATCCAGCTGTTGGAATACAAGCTAGCAACGATTAGGGCATATTTGATAATTACAATGGAATATATATATATATATATATATATATATATATATATATATATATATATATATATATATATATATATATGTGCATGCTTACAAGAAGCAGCATCAAAGTGCTGGCAGAAGCCAATAGGTAGCCCACTATGTTCCGCTTTCTTGTGTTGATCCTTGCCTCGTTGTAAGTTAGAATCGCCATTGTTCCAAGCGCGAAGGGTTGGTAGACAAGGGTGAAAACCCTGGCAGGATGGTAATCCTTACAAACACACAAAATTGACATGGTCCATGAAATTGTACCACTGTATCGGCAGTTCAACCACGAAATACCAGTATCGCGGAAGTTAAACCGGTAGCTAAGCGGTATTTAACGGTACTAACGATTGAACTAGAGTTAAACCACGATTTTACCATAAAATTGACACGAGACAGGATTGTTTCGTATGGAGCAAAAAGTCTTGTGCTCGATCCTAGCTAATAACACTTAATATTATTAGTCTCGAACTGGTTGAGATTTGGTAGAAGTAATTTTATCTTCTTTCTTTTTATTACAATGATATATTTAGTAAAAATAGTACCGTGTGTATTGTCAAATCCTGATAATCGCGCGCGACGCTCATATTTGATTTAAACGCGCGAGACGAAAATGCTACAAACATCAAGAGCATGCCACTAGCTAGATTAAAGGGAGAAAGAATTTGGGGTGAATGTTAGAGGGTACCGGGAAGAGATCATAGTAGTAATCTCCGATTGCTAGCATGGCGTTCCATGCAATGATGGATCCAAATCCAAGAATCCAAAAAACCAACTGCCCTATGTATTTCCCTTGTAAATGTTTCTCCCTTCCTCGAGCTCCTTGCATCTGTACGTAAGCAAAATCCTTTGGAGAAAATAAACCACAGACACACATTTTGAGTTCGAACTTCAGATCGATCGACATGTATCGAACAAACCTCGAGTGCTCTCGCTGCTAGATCTTCATCACGATCTCCATTACCAACATCATCGTTCCCAACTTGCGCCATGTTAATGGAAGAAGGACGTACAACATGTGCAATATCAATATGAAGGAATGCCAATCTCGTTTGATCAATCTTTATATATATATAATAATTAATTAATGCCAGGAATTACTCTCATGTTGCTTAGCTTTTACCAATGAGTTCATCGTGCTTCTAATTCAGGCTTGCTTTGGCTATGGATCTTCCGCCGAAATTGTATACGTGGCAACAGTACCATCATCGGCAGGGAATAATGTGAAACGATACAACCAGCCAAAACTCTCAAAGCTTGATTAATTTTAATTTATTTTTTCTTCTATAAATGGATTCTTATTTGTGCTTTCGTCAAGAATTACGGAGTTTAAGTTGGCAATAATATAATCCTTGGAAGAATGACGGTTGAAGCAACAACACAGTGGGAATATACTTGGCGTAATTAAGATTAAGTAAGGCAATATGCTGAGCATGATGCGTGGTTAACAATGAAAAGCCAATACAGGCTCAAAAATGGCAAACGGAGGTTACTAAAAAAATTCGGTTTGTTGTTTCTTGTTGAGCAATGTAGGTAAAACCATAAATCATTCACAAAGTTTAATGGTTTAATTTAATGGTTTTACTAGTTTTTACTTGTGAGTTTTATCTTGATTTCTGTAAGACTCTCTGAAAATCGTCGATTTGAATGATTTATTAACCAAAATTTCAGGTCAACTCATCATCAGTCACTTCTTGTGTGATGATTGACATAGCGGAACTATTTTTTATATTTTAAATCAAAATAATAGCAGTTGATCATATTTTTTTAGCAAAATATAAGGTGGATAATCTACTTTTACGTAATTCTGCATGACTCCATTTATCATTGGTGTAGAACCTCTAGTAAATTAAAAGATTATATAGACACTATCATATTTTTCTTTTATCGCATATGGTGTTGTTTTCTTACCATAGAAAATTTCCCACCTTTTTTGGCTCTACAATCAAACTTCTTTAATAAAGGATTAAGCTAAGAGATTATATCTAAGCATATCTAAGCACCATGTCAATCGCCATGAATAATCCGACCTTAAACTCCTTGCCCATGTGCCAAAAAACAAGGTCAAATGACAGGAATAAAAAAAAAAACTCCTTTTATACTAAACTTAATTATCAATGATCATCATCACTAATGACGAATCTCCTCCAAAACCAATGCTTCTCCCAGACACGGTGAACCGCCTCGATCGGGATGTTCTTCGTCTCCGGGAGGAAGAAATAGACGAACACAGACATGGCGGCCAGAAAGAAGGCGAAGAACAAGAAGAGGCCGAACTTCATGTGGCAGAGCATGGTGAGGAACAGCTGTGCGATTAAGAATGTGAACACCATGCTGGTCGAGATCGCGATGCTCTGCGCCGCCGACCGGATCTCCAGCGGGAAGATCTCCGCCGGCACCACCACACCCAGCGGGCCCCACGACCAAGCGAAGCCGGAAACGAAGCCGCAGATTAAGGTCACGATCAAGACGGCGTACCATTTGGGCAGACTCGATACCTCTCCGGTAACCCCAAACTTCCATCCTATGAGCCCTGCCACCAAAACCTTTTTTTTTTGCATATATGTATAAGGAATTAGTTGTGTTAGACGTATAATTCGAGTTATTGAGAGATTTTCAGTAAAATGAATTGGTTATAGTTACGTTATATTATGTCTTTCTATTATTTATTATTATCAAAAGTAAATTTCTGTTTTTTTTTTTTGCATCAAACATATTTTAGACAAATTATCAAACTTACGCGTTTTTATTAAAATTTTCATCAAAAAATTGGCAACACGATCGAACCATGATTTGGAAGATACAAATATCTACAATATCCCTAACAATTCCACTTAGATATTTTTTTCCCGGAATATAATTCAATACTCCTAATAATTTCACTTTAATAAGACTAAAAAAAAAATGGATGAAGAAACTGACATTTTCCCTTTTATTTTACCGAGATTAGGTTGTATATGATCATGATTGGCAACTTTTTTTTTTTAGAAAAAAATTTTAACAACAAAGCATGTTTCATAATTTTTCTAGCATGTTCGATAAAAATGTATAGTAGAAAGGCAAATTATACTTATAATTCATAATCATAATGGATTTTATATGAGTTTATTGACGTTCGTTTACACCGAATACGAAAATAATACTTCATATCATTGAGATAAAAACAATCACTAAAAAGTATGAAGAATCAATTAGTTCCATTAATTGAGTGAGTTGCTTCCAATTACTATGAAGTAAAACTACATATAGTGCCTAATTAGATCCAAATTTTTTACCTGGAAAATAAACATCTGAGCTCCACCGTAGAGAAACAGAGCCCGCCTCCCCCACCGATCCACTCCATAAACAGCAACGAAAGTCGCGGCGACGTTGACACCTCCGGTCACGACCGCCGAAAGCAACGCCGCATCGTCGCCAAACCCGATGCTGCTGAACAGAACCGGCGCGTAGAACATCACCACGTTGATCCCACTCAACTGCAGCGCCGCCTGGATGACGACAGCCATCGTCAGCTGCGGCCGGTACTGCCTCTTCCCGAGCACCTTCCTCCACTGGTGCTCGCCGTCAACCGCCCTGGACGCCTTGGCGGCGGCGACCAGGTCCCGGAACTCGGCCGCCGCCTGCTGCTGGGTGACGCCCCTTATGCGGCAGAGCATGGCCAGGGCTTGTTCTTCCTCCTCCCGGCCGCCGCCGCCCTTTTCGAGCATGGAGTTTGGAGTGTTGGGAAGGAAGATTGCGGAGATGAAGATGAAGAGGGCCGGGATGCACGCGCCGCCGAGGCTCAGCCGCCATCCGGCGAAGGATGTGATCCTTGGGGTGAAGTAGTTGATGAGATTGGCGGATAATATCCCGGTTGTGATGCTGAGCTGGAAGAAGATGTTGAGTGCGCCGCGGTGCTTGTGTGGCGCCATTTCAGATACGTAGAGCGGCGCTGACTGTACGTTCAACAGGAGAGGAAAAAAATGGGTGGAAGAAATTACAAATTCCAAATGTTAGGGTACAATCCAATCCAATTACCAGTTAAAAAATATAAAGAACAAAATCATTGAATAACATTGTACATTTTGATATAAATTGAATCAGATTATTTATTGTTGATTGGAAGTCACGGGATTTTATTGTTTGGTCAACGAGTTGGAGTTCAAGAATGAAGAGTCCGATTAGGAGGCTCGGTAGAGCAAGCTTTCACGGTATATATGTTTATACATGTTTGGGTTTGTGTTTTGTATTTGGTTTGAACCTTATTCTTGACCAGATTAGATTAGCGTTAGACAATATGGAGCAGTACTTATGTAATCTCCCCAAGTGTGTATATATATAGTGAAACTGGCCCTCGCCTATCCATGAACTAACCAATACACGTTGTGTTCTTCTTGAACCACGTAAATCTGTGTGTTTTTATTTTCTTGTTAATTTTGTCTTTCTTGCATTTTTATTATCCCAATTAGTCATTAAGAGTATACAAAGACAATTCATATGAGGCTTTTTGGATACAACACCCAAAAATAAATCCATGAAGACCTGATCAGAAAACGGACAATATTAGTGGAGCAATTTGATCTCGACAGGTGATATCTAGCCTTGTGTTTGGTTTCACTAAGTGTGCAAATTTAAAGCAGATGACATTAGTTTGGTGAATCCTCATTTAACAATCTCAATATTTGAGATTCACGAAAGTTAACACAAAACGAACAATATCGTACTAAATATGCCACCACTACATTAGTCTTGAAATCAAACTGAGTATTTTTTTTTTCTAATTAATTACCTGGACAGAAAAGCCGACGCCGACGCCGAGGAGAAGGCGGCCGAGAATGAGCATCCAGAGGCTGACAGCGAATCCATTCATTGCAGCCCCGAGGAAAAATACGAACCCTCCAAGAACCATGGAAGCTTTCCTGCCCAATTCTCTGGTCACCCACGAAGCCGCGAGGGAGGAGACCAGCGCCGCCAGATACAGCGAAGACGTGAACATCGTCAAACCGACGTCGTCGAACTTGCAGTACTGGTTCGTCGATTTATCCGCAGCTTCTCTCGCGTAGACGGACGGGAAGAACTTCCGCAAGAACGGCCCCATTGACGTCACGCCTCCTACATATATACACACTAATTAATCAACTCAACTGCTCAGAGGGACAGAGAAATCGATGCAATTATGCTCACCGGAGATACCGATGTCGTATCCGAAGAGAAGGCCCGCCATGGCTGCGACGAGGCAGGCGCCAACGACGTACCGCGTCATCTGGCCCTCGTATGAGTACTTTTCCGTCGAAGAGCCCGGCCCAGGCCCGTTCCCCTCCTCGGGCCCAATAACCGGCGCCATCGATTGCGCACTCACAAGGGCGCCGGTGGCGCCGGAGAAAAGCTGCTTATTTTCCGAGAGAGTAGATGGTTCGAAGACTGGGAAATGGGAAAAGGCAGATTTCGATAACAGTCGCCAGGCACGACTCAATAATTGATTTCATTCATGTCATCGTCGTCTTTTTTTTTTAATAATTATTTAATCCGCCAACCGTGGATATGGAGGACGCAGCCGTAAGAGATCATGGTAGGTGCTTGAAGATAAGATTTAACAAGTAGTTGGATGATAATATAAAATAGAGAAATTTTACAATGCTATATAGTATTGGTGCTATAGGTTTTTGTCTTGATGGTACAATTTAAAATTGTACATTTATGTTATGGTACAACTTCAGATTGTACCTATACTTTTTGTACAAATTCTTTTATGGTACAACTTGAACTTGTACATTTATGTGATGGGACAACTTCAAGTTGTAAAGTTGTACCATAACATAATAGTACAAATTGCTTTATGGTACAACCTAAACTTATACATTTAATGTTATGGTACAACTTTGAGTTGTACAGTAAAGCACCAATACTATATAGCATAGTAGAAGTGCTCTATAAAATAAGTAAATAACTAAGGGCCTGTCGGTAAGCATTTCTCAATCTTCTGAGTTAAAGATAGTTGGTCTCGAAATTTGTAAGCATTTTCATCGAGATGTTATTCGTCGTCAAAAATTTTAACGATAGTTTTACTATGTGGGTAAGTTGATGATTATTTTGCAGATGGAGAAACTACATCTTACAAGAACTTAATGTATAAAATTTTATGTCTTGCGCGAGTTGCGGGAACAACTTAATCTATGAAGAATATTTGAATTCTTCGAAAAGTTAAACCTCTATCAAGAGAGGGGGCGTAATATAGTGTTGCAGAGCAGTGATAACGCTTCAAGCTGTTGTCGAGCACAATTAAAAAAATATTGTAATTGTGATGTGAGATATTCGAACAACAATGGATATCGTTCCAATTTTATCGGATATTGACAGCAAGATAAAAGAAAAACGGAAGGAGCCCAAATGTGGGCTGGATGCTCATAGGCAGCGCTGCCCATTATTAGCCATAATCCACACTTAATTTCTATTCCACTTCGTAGGCCCATTCCACATTTTCTCCTCTTCAGCAAAATAAACTAATTTGTACCCCAAAAAAAAAAAGCAAAATAAACTAATAAAAACAATATTTAAAACACAAATTAAAAAATAGGCCAAAAAAGGCGAACAACTTGCTAACTCTTTGCTGCTATGACACGTCTTCTTCGCTTAAACCCTAAACCCTGAGCTATATAAAACGCACCAAATCCCCAAAACCCTCACATTCGCCTCCACCGAAACACACAGCAAAGTCAGCCACAGAGAGAGAGAGAGAGAAAGAAAGCAGGTCCGGCACCATGGCGACCAAGCTGATGCAACTCCAGAAATCCCGCGGCCAACTATCGCCGCTTCATCTCATCCTCCGTCGCGGCGGCGTGCCCTGTGAGCTGTCGTCCTCCGTGGAAGCCAATATCCTCTCGCAGACGAGACTGAGGAGGGCGGCGGCAGGCGGCAACAGAGGCACGAAGATCGTCCTGTCCCAAGACCAATCCTCCCACAGCTTCGGCGTCGCCGCCGGAGCTGCCCGCCTGGACGCCGCCGCGGTCGATTGGGACAGTAAGCTCCTGACCTGGAGGTTCGCCCCTTCCGGAAGGAAGCTGGACGGCTCGCTGTTGGCTCGAGGGAGGAAGCCGGTGAGCGAGGACGACGACAATGATGACTCCGACATCGAGGGTTTACTCGACGATGAGGAGGATTTTGACGACGTTGACGAAGATGATCTCGACGACGAAGATCTTCTCGACGACGAAGAAGATGAGGTTGTTGAGGTGAAGAAAGGAAGCAAAGGGAAGAAATGATGATCGCAACTGAGGCTACTACTATTGCTCCCCCCCTTCTCTTCGTTTCTTGTTTGTCTGCAAATAAGTGACGCGAATAGGGTCCATGAAATCTTGTGTGCTGTGAGTGTTTAGTCACATTCTTTTTGCTGGATTTTGGTGGTTTCAACTTTCAATTTTCAATTCCTTTGTTGGAAAGTTACAGATTCAGGGGAAGAAAATGAATGGTACCTGCAATCTTTATATCCAATCTGTTTTTCCAGTTACTCGGGCTACAGTACCAAAATGTGTAGAGTTTAATATGAGAGCATTCGAGCTTTGAACAACAGCATCAACCCATCAAACAAGTAGGGTTTTTTCTCATTCATCTTTTTATCCCATCCCGGAATAAGATGTACATCCCCTTTACTATCAGACTCTAGAAGTTCTAGTTCTAATAACTCTCGCCTACATCTCAGCGGCAAGGATGGAATGATGAGTACCTTAAATGGGATCTGGCTCCAACTTCCGCTGAATTGCTGCTGCAGCCTGTACGAAAAAAATGTCACGAAGATACACTTCAGCCTTTGATCAGTATGATTGGATAAACTGGAACACCACATTTCGGAAATGGAACGTCTTTGTGGGCTCACCTCGTAGTTGCCGATCTTATACTGATATGCCATCTCTTCCCGAAGCAGTGCTTGGTCTTTCATGGCTTGTGCCTGCCAACCAGAGATTTTGGATCAAGATCATAATCCATCTTAATTGGTACACAGAATGCACAGGGGTTTTGGGATATTAAGAGAATCGAAATCAAGAATTCGATAATGAAGGCTGCTAACCATTCCGCTTTGCATAGATAGCTTTAATGCTTCGACTTCTTTTTCCTTCTGTTTTTCTCGCTCACGCATCTGCTCTTGCCTGCGAACAAATATGCACCAAAAACATGGGAAAAGTGAGAGCAAAAAGGAGCTGGGAGGAAGGAGCAGTATTTCCTGACGGGGAAGGGACACAGGACAGTTTTAGGATGAAAAGTAGTCGCTGTACTTTTTAAGTTCAAACTAACTCATAGACCAAGTAGTTCAGAGCATACCCAGAAGATGGAAGTGATAAAATAATGTAAATCCATTTGCAGCTACAGAAAGGACATTATTATTCTAATTAAGCATGTGACTCGAAAATAGATACATGATGGGGTGCAATGGAAACTTTTGGACTTTCTAACATCAGTGCCAGCAAAAGAAGGCAGTATGGTTGAGAACCAACCAGGTAGGTACAGGCCATCTCAAAGATCAAACAAATTAAGCAAATGGAATTGCAAGTAGTAGAGCATACATACCGCTTTAGTTCTTCATCATTAAACATGGTACGTTCAGTTTCCTGGACCTTTTTACCGCTCTTCAATTCCTTCAACATTTGGCGCTTGTAATAGGCATCAAGATCATAATACCTATAGTTCAGAACATTTATTAGTATGACATGGCAAGACCAATTCAGGATTTCAGTCTATTTGTGCGCCATTTGTACTGCTGTATTCAGTAAGCAAACAAATATACATGAAGCATTTCCGGAGAAGATGGAAAACCTTGAACTGAAAGAAAACTTTCCTTCCCTATCTGCAGAGAGTTACAGATAATAACAAAAAGAAATAGTTATCTGTTCAAATGCCCATTTGAATTAAAGATTTAAACTGTATCCTGCAGGCACGCTACCCCGACAATTTGATTGATTCAGGAGTACAGTTCACAGGTAGCGGAGAAGAATCAGTGGGCCATGAACATGAGTTGCAGGCTAATTAGGTAATGAAGCAAAAGACTTGATGACATTCTCACAAAGAGGCAACTCCTGTTTGCAGTGAATGGATAAATTAAGCAAACATTATTCATAGTTAGAGCCTTACTTCTTGGAAGGAAAGGTAGCAGTATTGTGGTCCTCCATAAATCTGCAGACATGTTTTGTTATATATCAGTTGGATTGATGATAAATGAACCAAGAAGCTCTCCCATGTATATTTGCTCTTTACAGAAAAGACTTATCCAATGACAGCCATCAAGGTTGTGCCTATGTGCACTTACTGCTTGAACATCTGCTTTTCTTCCCAGTTCGGCAGAGTTTCAAGGTTCACCTACAAACCGCAAACAAAAAATGCACCACATTATAATTATAACCATAGTCATCAGAGCATCCTATCGTGAATACTGAATGCTACTTTCAGATTGCATTTCCTTCCAATAAGCCAAGGACAATAACAACCATCAAGCCAAACCTAACTACCATCTACCATGCATACTCAAACATAAATATCAACTCTTCTTATTGAAGAAAGCTTCAAAAGAAACAAATGGGTGGAATGAGAAGGTACTAAGGAGGTACTCTAAAACATTGATCATTGCAGAGCCTATCATGCTGTAGGCACCATGTATATCAAGTGTCAGAACACAATATTTTTTTATCCTCCAACTATGAGATAAGAATAGGAGATAGGACTATAGAACATAAGCCAATTCCAAAGATGGAAAGCTAAAAATGTGCAACATATACCTGCTTCACTTCAGATAACCATGCACTGAATTCAGGACGTTTGTTCCTGCAAAATGGAGATTGGATTAGTAAGAACAACAGTGAAGATAAAACCAGATGCTTTCCCATATGCAATTCAATATGTCAGGGTAGCAGCAATCCATTGCTAACATAAGAAGGTAGCACCATCAGAGTCCATGAAGCAGAAACAAGTGCTAATTCTTCTCGGCGCTATGTAAGGCTGAGCAGCAAGACTTGGAAGATCAAATCAAGTTTCCCAAGCAACAAGGACCTAAAATGAGCCAGAAACCCTAATGAAACCCCTCCCAACCACCCACAAGAATCTCAGCAACCAAATACTAACAAGCCAATTTCCAAGTTCAAAACCATGGAACAGGAAAGAAGAGCAGAAAATTTGGAAGGAAGAGCGAACGATAGAGTAAGTTACCACATATCAGTTTCTCTGATAATCCCATACTTCCCCCATAGATTAGTAACAGCACCTCTCTTCCCAATCTCTGCTTTCTCCTTCTTCCGCTTCTCTTTCCTTTTCTTCTTCTCTTTCTCCTTCCTTCTCCTCTTCTTTTCCTTCTCTTCTTCCCTCTCCTTCCTCTTCCTCTTCTCCCTCCGCTTCCTCCTCTTCCGTTCCTCCTCGCTCTCGCTTTCTTCAGTGAGCGACTCGGATGACTCGGACTCCTCGCTATCGGAATACTCTGAATCCGACTCGTCGCTGCGACGCTTTCGAGACTCTCGCTTTCCACTGTGTTTCCGGCTGCGCCTGCGCTTCCGTTCCTTTCCGGAATCCGAATCAGAAGAGTCCTCCGCTAACCTTTTCCTTCTGTGTTTGCCATCGCTCTTCCGGTCACCGGCATCCGGAGAATCCACGTCGTCGTTTCCCCGAGCTCTGCTTTTCGATTTACGATCTTCTTCCAGCTCGTCTCTCTCGGAGACAGAACCGTCCCGGTGTCGGCCCATTTTCGCTACACTCCGGCCAGCAGTGAAGAGATTTGTCTGTTTAGAGTTGTTAACTTCCAGTAGTTTCCGTTCATCTTTCTGCTGGTTTAGCATGCGATATCAAATGATTAATGGGCTTTTGGCATAAGGCCTATTCATGATACAGCCCAACTTCCAGACGATTGGCCCAGAGCCCCAGACATTTCTAATAGTGTATCCTTCCTTGCAGGTCAATTACAGAAATGGCCATTGGAGGTTAGAGTTATTAACAAATTGGTCACTCATGGTTAAATTTTAACAAACTCGTCAATTGTACCATTTTTATGAAGTATTCTCTGGCATTTTCCTTTCATACCATCTAAATTCCTCCAATAATATATGGTAGAGTTTTGTGAACTTTTCTCCATTTCAAATTTCCGAGTGAAAGTAGGAAGGACATTTTTGTCTTTACAATTAAATATTTATCTCAATAAAAATATCAATCTAAGGATTCGAACCCGGGTCTCTTAAAACAAAGTCAACAATAACAACCAGTTACACTAAACAAATTTGTTGTATCTTTTTTAGTACAAAGCATACACAAAGTTAGACTCAGAAAATTGGATGAATTTTCCATCATGATTACCAAGCCCACTAAGTCTACCGTATATATTTTTATGGTGCTTGATACTTCAGTTTTCATAGTAGCTAGAGTTTCATGTAATTTTCCCAATTTTAAATTTTTTGCTCTCGCCTTAATTTTTTTGCTAAAGGTAGATTGATAATTGGCTACCATAGAAGAAAGTAATTATGTTACTGCGTGTTGTATCCTTGAAATTTTCAATTTAAATTTAAATTTAGTGCTTTTTTATCTTTGTTCTTATCTCTTTTAACTTCCTCCGAAATTCCCTCTATCGTGCAATAGTTTACGCCCCTTTCACTTTTCAATACCAGGCCGCCTTTGAAATCAATATTTTGGTATCTCTTGGCACTACGATTTTATTATTCGGGAGTTAAGCTAGGCAAGTAGAAGATTTCAACTCCGATATCAATCCATGACAAATAAAATGGAGTTCAATAAATGGAGTTGTAGAAGGAGGATTAGAAATTGAATTTTTTATTGAAACATATGTCTCTTGAGATAAAAATTTGGTTCTATGGCAGAGAGTGGTGACTATTGGACCTTTAGGTTTATGGTTTTTGCAGCTAGGTCGATTCTTTATTCAACCTATTGGAACTGATAGATACGGAGTGTCTAATTTTGTGTCTTATTACTTCGATCGAGTTTATTAGCATATTGGAGGTAACCTTAATTTTGTCGTTTGCTCTCAAGTTTTATTGGTCCCCTCTTAATTGAGTTGTTAGTATATAGTTGATTTGAATCAACAACTCTGCATTTCTTTTTGATTAGTGGCATATTGTTCCTAAGGAGTGCATTGAACCCTTTATGTAGGATTGTGAGGTTTAAAATTGTGTTTCAAACTATCTATGGCGTGTGGGAATTCCAATGAGCTTTTGTACTCTATCTTTCTTGACAATCAACTAACCAATAGCATTTTAATTGGGGCTTAATTATCATCATAAAAATGAGATCAATCATTTTTATATTTTATATTCTTATTTCTCCAAAAGTTCGACCTATATATTCTTTCTTTATATATCATCTAGATCGAAGAATTGTCAATAAAATTAAACGGGTTGATAGACTTAAATGTAACATAAAAATACAAATAATCAAATATAAACATTCCGGCCAACGGGCCGGGTTATAAGCTAGTCAGTAAGAATGTGCCTCAATCGCTATACATCTATGGCATACCAGTAACTCTGTCTATACTCTTAGTCTGTTCTACGTAAACTACACGATTCCGCAATCACGTATCGAAATGTGCCTACTAATCCTTCATGTGCATCTATCAAACTCAGAAACCAACAGAAAAAAGAATCAAAGTTGTAAAACAAAAACTAGGAGCACCTAGAGACGTCTTCCTGCAGCAACTCGGGACACGGCAGTGGAAACACGTCCTGAGCAAAACCGGACACAAACTCACAGTGCCAAGAAGCAGGAGACGACGATGATAACTTCGTCGTGACATTCCTGAGGCATATCCCGGAAAATGGAGCATTCTGAATGCCCAGCAACTGCGGAGCTTTGGTGGAATTCAAACTGAGCACGTTGCTGATTCTGACTCCCTTCACGGTGGGAATTGCATTCCGGTCCCACCCTTCATCAGGATGATCGTTCGAACCCCAGCTGAGCTTGATCGGTATCTTCACCTTCTCCATGATCAAATTTCTCATGGTTATGTTCGCAATGTATCCTCCCCTGCCTATGTCGGTTTTTATCCTCACTCCGGCTGCTGAATTCCAAACGTGCAGGTCCTCGATCGTGATATTGGCAATGCCTCCGGACATTTCGCTCCCTATTCCGATGCCTGAGCAGGTAGGGGTGCTGCCAGAGATCCTTCTGATTATTATGTTGGAGCTTGAGCGGGCCGTCTTGATACCATATTGGTCCCATCCACTCTTCACTGCTACAAGATCATCCCCACTCTCGATGTAGCAGTCCTCAATACATACATTTGTGCTAGAATCTACATGAAAAATAAATTGAAGGCCAAAACAATTTTTTACCATTTTTTCACTTTTCTTAATCATTATGGCTCAGAAAGAAGCAGGTTACAGAATTGAATATCGAAAGGACAGGTGGAGTACCTGGGTCTATCCCGTCAGTATTTGGAGCATCAAGTGGCGCCAAGATTGTCATGTTTCTGATCACAACATTACTAAACCAAAATACAGGGCCACCAGTATCAGTTATCAACTTCAAAATGCTAATAAAACATGTACAAAAGTGCTAATGTACAGCTGGTAACAACTCATCAATAGTACGACCATTAATCAATTATGTAGCACAAGGAGAACCGTAATGAAAGCTAAGATGAGGTTGGAAAAACCACCTGCAGTAAATTGGATGTACAGTCCAAAACGGAGAGTTGCGGAAGGTGAGGTTTGAGATGAGGATGTTGTGGGAGTTCATTAGTTCCACAAGGTGTCCCCTTGTGTGCTCCAATGTTCTATTCCACCATAAGTCCCACCACATTTTCCCCTGACCATCAACGGTTCCATTTTGTCCTGAAAGAGTTAAAAAATTATCATTTAACAAAAGATGCAGTTTACATTTGATTCTTTGGCTCAAATGAACAATAATAGTCCCGGTAATCATGGTTGAGTGATATCTTGGCAATGTAAAACAGTTTAGTTCATGGCAGCACAAAGTAATTCCAAAAGGGCATCAAGTTTAGAAGTTGTAAGATAGGGTAAGACACATAAGTTGCTTAGATTTGATTTCTATCTTAGCGAATAACATCACATACATGTGATAGACAAGTTGCTTAGAACCTATATCTGATACAGCAATCATAATCCTCTAATCTCGTCTTGAAATATTTGTAGGAAAAGAAACAGGGCACATTAGCAGAATCTACAGGATGGCAGAGACTGCGTAAGAGACAAAATGCAGTCTTTCCTTTCATTCAATGGAGTCTAGAACTGAAACTATGCAAAGACTCTAAGAAGGGAAGTGCCTCAAGTACCTGTAATAACGACATCAAAGAGACCATCTCCATGAATAAGGCTAATATGCCTCCCTCCCAATCTCTCTCTCCCTCTGCCATAAGAAGGCAATGGCTCTACTATAGGCCACTCCTTTGGGTCCTGAAAATACACAAAATAGAGTAAAAAAGCAGCACACTTTTGAAACATTCTGTCAACAGCAGCAACCTTTGGGTCCAAGTCATCTCATTTTCCAGATCCTTTGTGACAAATTTGTTCCAAAAAGACTTGCAAAGCAAGCAACCAAGACAGTCTCATTTTTTACCATGACCCCAACACTGAATCTACAGACAAAAACCTAACATACTACTCTCTTGCCACGTCTAGAGCACTAAACTGGAGAGCCATGTGAATAGAGTTATTCTATAGTAGTAGCCTCCAAAGCCGGCTCGTGAATCTGGTCCTGTTGACAAACTCCACTTCCAAACCTCACATGGCCTTTAGTCTAACACGAACTGCAATAGTAAGAAAGAACCATACACCACAAGCTCGAATCGTTGTCTCCCAGCCAGAGCTTTCATTTCCTTTCGGTGGCCAACAAATGCTCACAAATTGCACTTCCCTTTTTGTCATCATCCATCTAAATTCTAATCTAATCTAATCCCTCTGCATTTCCCCGTGAAGGAAAAGGAAGAAATGGACAACACTTTGATCCAAAAGAGCCCAAGATCTTACAGGAAAGAAGCTTTTATAAACAAAGGAAAAAAGACAGACAAAAAGCAGACCGGCCGAAAACCAAAATCGATAGCATACCAACCAAAAAATAAATAAAGTTACCCAAAAAAAAAAAAATTTGGGTTACCTGAGAACCCAGAATCACAGCGCCTTGTTCAAGAAACAATGTGAAATTGCTGGTCAGGTTGAAGCTGCCGGTGAGCCACCTCCCTTCCGGCACATTCAGCTGCGATCCGCCGTCCAACCCGAACCGTTGCATGTGCCGAACAGCCTTCTGAAACGCTTCCGTGTTGGACGTTTCCCCATCGCCGACCCCTCCGAAATCAGTAATCGACATCACCGTCTTCCTAGCCGGGATTCTCCCGTAGAACCCAGAACAGCTTTCGGCGTCTAGTGGGAAATCCGATTCGAACCATCCTCGGGTCCGGTCCACCCAAACCGGGTAGACGGTTCTCGTCGTGATTTGGAAGCAGAGAAGCGCTGCCAGGGCGGCGGTCAACACGAGGACCGGCGACCGCGAAGATAGCTTCATCGCCTTCACCGCCGTTGTGCCGATCCCCTGCTGTTGGCTCTCCTCGTCCATCGTTCTTTCGGAATTTCAAAAGCATATGCATGTGAGAGAGCCCAACCGTGGGCGCGGAAAATTGAATGAATTGAAAGGGGCGCGCCGTTTGGGCGGAGAACCGAGAAGAATCACGTGAGACGGGCTTTTGGTTGGGATTGGAGGTGGGGAATTTAAGGTTTGATAAACTAGATAAGTTGCAGGCTGTGCGCGGTGGTTAGACGCACCGGCGCGGCGGAGATGGTGGTGGTATTGGTGGAGGGTGGGGAAGGAGGAGAAGAGAGAAGGAAGGAAGAGGGAAACGCCATTTGTGCCGTGCACGACGGCCTGAGGCACCTGGAAAGAACAGAACGCGAGTGTTCATGTGGGTCCCGTTTCGGTTCGAAACTTCCACGAGTTGGAATTTCAATTATTCGAAAAAGAGAAAAGCCCAAGTACATGGAAAAAGTCGGATCCACGAAGTCGAGCATTTGAGCCCAATGAGGCCCGATCTAAGACCCAATTAGATTCAATAAAAGCTTGGCTCTACTGCAATGATTGGATTTTATGATGTCGGTGCTTTTTCTTTTCTAAGGCCTCGTTTAGTATTGTTGCCTGTTTTTGTTTTCTATTGTGTTTTTCAAGATTGGAGAAATCAAGAAAAAAAAAACATGTTTAGTTGGGTTTCTATTTTCTGTTGTGAATCAGGTTTGCACCTCCAAACCTTAGTCGGCCAACCCTACCCTTATTTTCTCCCAAACTCGCCGCCCAATAGCTCCCTCCCTCTCTCAACTTCTTCCTCTCGAGACCCAGGTCGCCGATATCGTCCATCTCCCCCTCGTCGTCGATTTCGTTCCTTTGCCCCCGCCGCCTCCCTTTCCCCTGTCGCCCGACCTCGCAACCCCTGCCGCTTCCTCCTCTCGATTCCCGTCGCCGACTTCGAATCCTTTCCCCTCGCCGCCGCCTCCTCTCTTTTCTAGTTTTTAATTCTAATAGTAGTAATTGAACGTGTTTTTGCTTCTTGTTGTCTGTTTTCATTATTTTTCAGATTATCAACTAAACAGGTTTGTGTTTTCTGTTTTTTTCCTGTTGTTGTTGTACATCTGTTTACACAACACCACTGCAACCACAACAACAACAAATCGATACTAAACGGGGCCTAAGTAATCAAAATGATTTCACCTAGGATCGCGTGTTGAGTTTTAAATTCCTGCGTAGAATTGCACGCTTTTGTCTGTATTGATTGGATTGAACACACAAATGTTCCGAAGGACGGTCGAGCTAGCCAGACAAGGAAATGCAGCTCTGGATACTGATTGTCGTGTTGTATTTAGTCAGTAAAGGTAGAATGTAGAGTTGATCTTGGTTTTTTAGTTTGCTGTGTAAATTCAGAGTGCAGTAGCGGCATCTGTTTTAGCATGCTGGTATTGTAAAGATACAGGTGTGTATTCTCTGTTTTAGGGAGACACACAGAGCTTAATAAAATTTTTGATATTGCCCATAAAAAAAAACACACACGCACACACAAATGTTTTAAGACGTCGTTTGGTTTTGGTGATACTTAAATCAATGCATTGTGGTCAATGCATGCATTGTAATATATATGCAATAAGAAAAATGATGTAATGTACTTTACATTGTTTGGTTTTGGCGATAGTTCTTTTAGTATTCAACATGTTATTTTACTTGAAACAAAAAGGAACCCAAAAATCTCCTCAAAACTATCTCAACAATCTCAAGTTTTAGTAGAGACAGTACTATCACTCATTTTGAGTGATAGTTTCCATCACATCAAGCAAACAATGCATGTATTGTTTGTGCATAGAATTCAAAAAAACGATGCATTGTGGACAATACATTCATTGTAACTATCCCAACCAAACTATCACCAAAACCAAACAACCCCTAAGTCACCTAAATGTGTTTTACGTAAAATCGTGCGTAGAGTTTTACATTTCTACGTAAAAATCGCGCGCTTTTTTCTACATTGATTGGATTGAGCACGAAAGAAGGTATCGTGCTTTTGTCGAGAAGTGCATCACTTCACCACTTCTGGTTAATTTCCTTCGTTCATAGGGATGGCAATGGGTCGGGTCGGGGCGGATAGTGCATATCCGTTACCCTACCGAGAGTAGTTGAGGTTATACCTATACCCACATAAGAAATGGATAGAAAATCAAAATCATGCACATACTCGTTCGAATTTCGGGTATCCACGGTTATCCATGGGTAATAATTTCTCTTTATAACTCCAACCAATATATTAACATTCATGCGTATTCTCACATTACATAAGAGGAAAAGTACGAAAATAATTCACTAGAATGAAGAAAATCAATTAAAACAACACAATTTCATGAAAATATTATATTTATATGCTAAATATAAAACATGTTAGAGAAAAATAATGATTATTTATATACAAAATACATATGCATGTGTATAATCGGCCGGGTTCGGGTTGGATAGTGAGAAAACCATACCTACCCATTACCCGCAATATTCGGGTTTGGGTTTTACTAGTATCCATAAAAAAGTCCTTCGGATTCGGATTTTTACCATACCCGATTAGGTTGGATTCGAGATCAGGTCGGATTCGGATGGATATCCACGGTTACTAATATTTTTGCTATTAGGCTACTGGTTAATGTGTTGAATTGAGTGCTTGTTCTTGATAACAAACTTAAATGAAAGAATGAAATCCTTGTCTTGTAGAATTCTTCAGAAATGAAGACTCCCCTTCCATTCATGAAGTCCTTAAGCATTACTATATAGATGGGAGGTCTAGTATATGCATTACTGAACCAACCTAACTCACGACCCATATGCATAACATGAGCAATGGAGAAGCTTCATCCCAATTTATAACACACCAGCAAATGCAATACACGCAAGAACAGAGCGTGATCATTCAAGTAGGTAAGAACACTAACGGTGGGAAAGTTAACATATCATCATATCTAATAATGGCTACATGGGCATACACAGAGGAATGCTATACACGGGTGAAACAAAAGACTTTATTGCAGACTGATTGATAACCACGTTCTTGTAAACTTAATACCCACAAATAAGCTAGCTACTAGCAGCAGACTTACTGCCATTACTCCCTCCCAACAACCCTCTACAAGAACTTCTCTATGGAGGTGGTCAGGGTCGACTTGGGGACAGCCCCAATCACAGCATCTTTCTTATCCCCGTCTTTGAAGATCATCACCGTCGGGATGCTCCTGATCCCGTACTGGGTCGCCACCGACGGGCTCTCATCGGTGTTCAGCTTGTAGCATTTCAGCTTCCCCGCGTACTGCTTAGCCACCTCGTCGATGATGGGGTGGATCATCCGGCAGGGGCCGCACCATGGCGCCCAGAATTCCACCAGGACCGGGGTTTCCGACTCGATGACCACCGACTGCCAGTCGCCGTCTGTAACTACCGGGACTGCACACCATAAAAGACAGGAATTGAGAATTCGCAAACCCTAATTAGTCCAATTTAATCGAGGATCGAGAGAAGGGGACATGCAGGCAGACCTTCGGTGGCGGTTTCCTGCTGGGCCTCGCAGACGATGGAGGAGCGACGGGGTGGAGTGGGGGTGAGGGATCGGAAGGAGCGAGCTGGGGAGGCGAGCTTGAGACCTCTGGCCGTAGGGAGAGGGAGGGATCGGGGGCATGGAGATGGAAAAGAAGAAGCGGCGTGGTGGAGGCAGGAGGAGGAGGAAGGTCTGGGAAGAGAAGAAGAGGGGCGAGGGACGACGACGGATTCGAGAACGGCGGTGGCCATGGGAAGAAATCGCCGGACGGGAAGGGGATCTGAAGAGAGAGGAGGCGGTGAAGGATTGATGATCTGGTGGATGGGACTTGGGACTTGGGAGTTAGATAGCGAGTGGTGAGTGGGCCGGGAAGGGGATAACGAAGAAGACTATGACAAAGGTTGTCAAACCGGTTTGTGTCAGTGTGCCGGTTTAGCAAGTGGAATGGTTTGACCGGTGGTACATATCGGTTTGTGCCAGTTCATGCCGGTTAATATTACAAATAATTTACAAATACTCATATTTAAGCATGACATTTAACGTCAATACCTAAATATTTGTAGGTGAATCCAATAAATAACATCAACATTTAACTTTTTAACCCATAAAATAAATAATAAATTACTTTTTACCAAATAAATTCACTAATATAAGATCATTTTACTTAAAGATTCATATATCAATCATGTCGGTCATACCGGTTTTATGACCGGTACAGGTTGAACCAACCAGTGACACGTCGGCCGGCGTGACAACCATGACTATGACAATTGTGTCGCTCTCGTTTTTCTCTTTCTACCTCTCCCTCTCACCTCGCTGATTTCCTACGCGTGTGTTTACTTTGGTGTTGCTTTCCGGCCGTTTTGTCAAAATCCGACGGGAAGCCGTTAATCGAAACCATCAAATTGGGCCGCGATTCCGAGCCTATGGGCTGGATTTGGGATAGTTGTGTACCGGATTGGCCCGTTTGAGTACCGGCGGTGACCAGATTGAACCACATATGATGCGGCGTCGTTTGTTATTGAGTGCTGTTCAAAGTGTTTCTTCTTCGTCCGGCAAAAGAATTTTAGATACTCCCAGTCCCATAGTGTCAAACTCGACGGACAAAAAGCTGCACGGAAAGCACGTTGGAGAAAGCAGCCATGGATTTCACTCCTCTCAGCAACGCCTTGACCGCCAAGTCTTACGATAAGGTTGCTGATATCTGCGATGAACTCATGCTCAAGGTAAATATTTCCTCAACTTTTGTTCCTGTCCTCAGCTCTTCAATTGGTTGTTTCTCGCCGAATCCCTAACTCTCTCTTTCTCGTTTGGAAATTTTGTTGTCTGGTCTCTGTCAACAGGCTGCAGCTGAGGGGGTTCCGTTTCAAGACGAGTGGCCCTACGCGATTCATCTTCTCGGTCATATTTACGTTAATGACGTGTAAGAATCCCTTCGCCTGCGCTTTTTTTTTACTTCTTAGACGGATTTTGTGCCCGAGGGTTGATGCCAGAAACCCTTGTTTTTGTTCCTTTGATGTTATCCTCAGCTTGGCATTGTGGATGATGAACTAGGATTCACTAGGTTTGTATTGGGTTTTGCAGTAACAGTGCACGGTTTCTGTGGAAATCAATCCCTTCGACGATCAAGGAGGGACAGCAAGAAGTTGCTGCTGCTTGGAACATTGGTCAGAAATTGTGGACGCATGATTATTCTGGTGTGCACGAGGCTGTTCGTCATTTTGATTGGAGCGAACAGACTCGCCCTCTTGTTGCTGCATTTACAGGTAGGTTTCGTAGTCCATCCAATCATTGTTTTTAGTTTCTTTTGATTTCCTTTTCCTCATTGTGAACTTTTATGGTCTCCTGTCTGCATGAACTTTCATTTTCCCTGCTAAAAAAGGCTACAGTCCTTACCATCGTCTGACTATTATCGGTTCCTTTATGAAATCAAAGTACTTTGATGACTGGTATAGAGATGTTGATACCTTATTCCAGCCTTTTGTGGCTATACCTTTATAAATTGTACGACGAAAGTGGATAAACATTTGGAATTTGAGCTCTTGCTCATGTGGGGATGTATGTTGATGCTTATGATTACCGAAAGTTGTCCTGTTTTCCTCTTAGTCTGTGATATCATGTGTATGCTAATGGTGTTATTTACTATGATTGGCAGAGGTTTATAGCCAAAGGATCTTCCGGTTGCTGTTGTCTGCTTATTCAACTGTAAGCATCCAAGACACAGCTCTCTTTTTGGGGATGAATGAGGATGATGCTACAAAGTGTAAGATCCTTTTTCTGAATCTTATTCATTGTTACTTATTGGACTTGATTCTTCTTATTTTCGCTTTCCAAGAATTGCTGGCATCGTTCAAGAAAACATGGATATCTGACCCCGCTAGTATTAAGCTTTTAGTTATACCTATGGAAAATCCGTTATGTTCTGTGAAAAGTCTTATCAATCAACATCTGTTGTATCCCTATATCTTGGGATTCCATTATGTGCCTAATAATACCAGGATACAGTGATAACTTCTAGGATGAGGGATGGAGGAGTCCAGTATACAAAACTTCAAATATCACTAAAGAATCTTGGTTTATGATTTTATCATTTATACTCGTGTATTAGGTTTGGACACCCACCCCGCTCTCTATACGCATAGTTCCTGCAATGCATAGTTCCTGCAATCCCGACCTGTTCTTAGAGGGATAAAGTTCTGCAATTTCCATTTTACTGGTTTGTATCCAACGAATGAACTTTTTTGTTGCCAATTTCTAGATGTGGTGGGTCAAGGGTGGATTCTTGATTCTGCTTCTCAGATGCTAACGGTGAAGAAGCAGGCTGTTGCCGTGGAGCGGAAACTGGACTCAGATAAGCTGCAGCGCTTGACAGAATATGTCTTCTACTTGGAGCACTGACGTGTGACCTCCAGATAACCTGTGAAATCTTGCCTTTCAAGCATCTGAGCAAGACGAGTACATACAATCGAATTCTATCGGGAACTAGGATGTGCAACGTAGAGGATTTTTTGTCAAATTTTGTGGCTATGTATTATTCTGAATGAATTTGATGTTTTGCTCACAACATTCAGACAGAAATCAGTTACATTTGATTATCCAAAGTTATCATTAAATCAGCAAGCATGGTTTTACTTTGCGCGTCTCTGCTTGCTTATGAAGGCGTAGCGAGTAGCGACCTATCGATTTGATCCGCTTATCTCGACTTTTTTTTGGCTAGTATACGATTTGTGAGCAGCATCATGGGAGGTTCAGGTTCTTTGTTTCACTCCGCTTGATATTTGTCAAGAACCAGTTGCTCCCAATAACTCGAGTTATTGGGAGCATAAGGCTCTGATAAGGCTCTCGGTCACATAAGGCTCTGATACCATGTCATGAACCAGTTGCTCCCAATAACTCGAGTTGTTGGGAGATGTTCAATCGTGGATCATATACCACAACACTAACAGTATTGTCCTAGCATAGGGTGGTTATGGAGTGTTTTTATACTTGCTACACCCTCATTTTTGTTCCTAATTAATACATATGAATGGAATAGAAGACCCAAAATTGTAAGGTTCTTTGCATCACAATCATTTACAAAATTGTCATCCAATGCACTCAATAATCATAGATTGCGAAACCCTCGAACCAATATGGCAATATCCATTAGTGTGTTAGGATGTCCCAAAGCTAATAGTAGTTGAATTAAATTCCACGTTAACGAGGAATTTGCAAAATATATTAGGGGTTGGCAGGAAAAAAATTCCACCATAATTCACAAACCTCAAAGTGACAGAAATTAGGGGACTGGAAAGTGAGCTCAATGGAAGTTCGGGTGCGAAACTGTAAGTTGTTCTTATAAGAAAACGTTCTACAAACCCCGCCCTGAACCCCAGAGCAAAAACCCGAAACGCAATTCCACCGGCGACATAACTGAGAGAGACACACTCGAACTGAATTAACGATCTCCGTTCCCGGCCGCCGTTCCTTCTCTCTTCCCCTGTTTTCGTCTGAGCAAAGCAAGGGAAGGCACGGGGAATGGTGGTCGCGGACAAAGAGAAGCTTCAGGAGGAAGTCTCCTTCAACCGTTTCTGTAAAATCGTGCTCGGTTGGGACCATTTTCGCCTCGTCTCCGGCGCCGAGGTACCTCCACTCTTGTCTCCCTCCTCCATTCCCTTTCAGTTACTATCGCTTTTTTTTTTGGGGTGAACTTCAATCTTCCTGCTTCTACTCGGCAGAAGAAAAAGAAAGACAACGGAAAGAAGGACGCGGCGGGTTTGAAAGAAGTGAAGAACTCTTACAAAGACGTTGATGATTACCTTTCCACCTTCGAGCCGCTCTTGTTCGAGGAAGTCAAAGCCAATATTACTCAGAAGAAAGATGACGAAGAGGGTTACTTATTATTCTGCTTCAGTTCCGTGTAGCTGCCTGTAATCACTTGAGACTTTGACTTGATTTTGTTTTTTGGGGTACATTGTAGTGACGGAGTGGGAAATGAGGCTGGTGACGGAGTGTAATGAAGTGGAAGGGTTTTTCCAGGTAGCACTTACTCTTGGGGATAACGAGGAAAAGAGAATCTCCCAAAATGATCTGCTACTTCTTTCGAAAGAGAAGGTAATGATACTCAATTTTGAACTTTTCTCTTAACAGATATGTTTTTGATGAAGTGCTCTAGCTTGACACCAGGCCATTAGAGCTCTTTTATGCTTTGGAGTTTGGACATCTTTGCTTCTTTTCTGGCGTTTGTGGTGTCTTCTTTTCTAGCAGCTTTGATTTTAGTATGTTCTTTTCCATTATCTTAGCCTTGATTACTGTGAATGAAATGACGTGTGCCGACTATTGAGCAAATGGTGTGGAAAGAATGTGGTTCATAAGATTGTGTGTCTAAGTGAAGGATACGTCTAACTTTTTGTTCTAATTCTGCTTTCCTGAACCTGGATATCTGTCCACTGGATCTTCCTTGATTTATAGTATGTGGGTTTTTCTTTCGTCTATTGCAGACCAAACCAACAGCATATGCTTATGCTCTGGTGGAACATACCCAGCATGATATTATTAGGCTTAGAATGTGTTTGGCTGGAGAAGTCAAGAGCACGAATTTAGATGATGTTGACTCCCAGCCGAGGCTGTTAAACATGCAGGCTCTTATTACTGCTCCCGTAAAGCCACAAGAGAAGCCCTTATTCAGCTTAAAGGTAACTAACTACCTTTCCAACTTTTAACAATGCGATCTTTGCCTTTTATTACTCACTTCAACTGTGAAGCTGGACCATCTAGTTTGCTTTTATTGTTAATGGAAGAATGGATATGTTTTTCTGTAAGACTGTGCCTGGTAGCACCCCTGCTAATTTTGTTTTGCTGATGTTGTTTCTGAAGTGTAGGTCGTGATCTTCTTAGATGGTATGTCTGCTAATACGAAAAGTGCTTAACCTTCTCATTTTCAAAATGATACCATCAAATGGATGAAAATGAATATTATTTAGCATCTATTTTTCTCTGGACGTTGTCAAGGTTATACTCTTGACACAGGAAAACCTAGGCACGTTGAAGAACCTTGTGAACCCTTGATCGTTTATGTTTCTGGACAAGAATGGACCTGTTTGGTTTTTCAGAAGTATGGAAACATATAAGCACACTTGACATGTCTTGAGAAGAAGTGTGCATGCTTTGAGTAGTGCTCTATCAATACTTCAACTTCCATTACTTATATACACACAATATCCAGGGAATAACTTGTTCCTGCGTGCCGCTTGATTTTGGTACACCTCATAGTATGCAAGTTTATTTTGTAGATATGCAGTTTGTCAACCATTTCACGTGAATATATAGCTTTGCGGTCAATTGGCTCTCTTCCATTCAAAGATTTAATCATAAAAGCAACAGACAGAATTGGTTCAGAAGACCAGTCATGGAAAGTTTCTGAATCTCTTCGTGGACATTTTGAAGAAACTCTTAACACATCACAAATGGAAGCTATAAATGTGAGTTTTCACTTAAAAAAAAAATAGATGTACTTAAATTACAAATTAGGATTTAAAGGTACTTCTCAGGGACGCAGTGCTAATTGATACAGTTTGTTATTTGCAGGCTGGTCTATCACGTAAACCGTTTGTCTTGATACAGGTATATAATCTGTTTCTCCTTTCTCTTGATTTGGATCCTGTAGTATCTTTTCTTTTTTCCAATGTCAAGATCTGGTTTACTTGAGGCACTAGTAGAAAATGTAGACTTGAAGTATTTCCAGTTCTTAGTTCTTACTCAACTAATAGCGACACGTCAGTTTCTGTTGAGACTTGCAAACAATAGAGATGATATTGGTTACTGATGAAAGCACACTGTTTGAAACTATTGTGGGCATAAGAAAAATCGGGGTTTGTGTGTGCTAATAGAATCAAGTCTTGTGATCTGCAGGGCCCTCCAGGAACTGGAAAAACACAGACAATTCTTGCACTTCTTAGTGCTATTCTTCATGCCACTCCAGCTCGAGTGCACACCAAGTGAGAAACGTCCTGCCTTTGTTGATATTTTTATGATCGTGCTATCCTTTCCTCTTCCCATGTGGCATTCCATTTGATTAATGTATTTATCTTGTCATGTGTGAGGCCGATGTTTATGTCTCTTCTCTGCTATTGAACAGGGCTGGATCAGTTAAAACTAAAAGTGGACCACAACTCTCAATTGAAGACAAGTATGTAATAATTTTCTTCCCTTTTCCTTAATGATTGTGCAGATTGAGTATAATACTATTGTTTGCGCATAATTGCACATGTTCATTCTCTTAGGCTGTCGTTGGTGCTTCTAATATTAGTAGAACCAGTCACTCAATCCATTTGTATGTTCTGAGATTGGGAATAAGTGTCATGTCTATACCTGTTGGTGTTTAGAGTTCTTTCTGGTTGCTTACCTGGTGTCTGACTGGACCCTAATTACTTAGCTCTAGTTTGTAGCATTGCTCTCACAAATTATGTAAATCGACAAGTATACAACTCAAACCATACACTTTCATTTCAAATTGATTGCTACTCCCTAACTAGTGGTTTAAAAGTTTAGGGGTGGTCTTAGGACAGGGACCCTTGGATCTTGATGATCCCTCAACGGCTGCAGCATCCCTGTTCAAGGGCTGTTGTCTGATGTCTTCCTAGTCTTCCCAATTATCTGATCTTGAATTAGTCGAAGACTCATCAGCAATAATTATCTTAGGTACTTCTACTAGTTGGATGTATCTATTTCTTAAAGAGATATTAGTTAAACTTACAGGACACATTCTTCTGTCTGAGAAACTATCTAACCTGTGACTCAAAGATTCACGTGTTTCACAGCAAATATTCATGACTAGTGCTTTCATGATTTACTGGTCCAATGAAAACCAGAACATTCCTTTTGTTCAATGGCTTAATGCATTTAACGGTTGCAGGTACACGAATTGGGCACGAGCATCTCCATGGTTGGCTGGTGTAAATCCTAGAGATGCCATCATGCCTAAAGGTGGCGATGATGGCTTCTTTCCTACCACCGGAAGTGAGCTGGTAAGATTCATTTTGCCATTTTTATGTTATCGGATTGAGTAGTTTCTTATAAGTTCTGAACTCCTGCAGAAACCAGAAATAGTTGCATCGAGCCGCAGGTATCGGCTACGAGTACTTGTATGCGCCCCTTCAAATTCTGCCCTTGATGAGATAGTGTTGCGCCTTCTCAGAAATGGTACGAGTTTCTCTTCATGTTTTGGTGGATATTTTTGCCACCGGTAGTTCCTACTTCCTACATCTCAAATTGAGATAGAAACTAGTGGAGTGTTCATAATAACATTGTTCCTTGTGCATTTAACTTAGAAGGGTATTGGCATGTCCTTTTTTCAAATTGTGTGATTTTCTTTCTGGCAGCTGAGCTGTGAACTTCGTTGCTTTTCTGCAGGCGTTCTTGATGAAACTGTTCGTAATTATAACCCTAAAATTGTGCGTATTGGTCTGAAAGCACATCATTCAGTTCAGTCTGTCAGCATGGATTACCTTGTACGTACCTGGAACACCCCCCCCCCCCCCCCCCCCCCCCCCCCCCCCCCCCCCCCCTTTCTTCTTTGCTCACTCTTTGATTCATTGGTGTGAGTTTGCATTTTTATTTCCAATATTTTTTTTTGGTTGATTCATTAATCATTAAAAGGCAAATTAAGTCTCATATCATCCCAGTTGGGGATAAAAAAGCTGTTATGCTGCCATCCAAGCAAGAGCTTCATTCTTAAATTCTTCTTAATTTTTCTGCTTATATGTAATTTACATATGCTGATGAAGATTCCGTTGCTGACATAACATAAATCTGTCTGCAGGTGAGACAAAAGCAATCTGAGTCAGCTGCCGAAAAACATAAACATGGAGCTGCTGGAGGAGATATAGATAATATCCGCTCTTCAATTCTTGATGAGGCTGTTATTGTATGTAACTTTATGTCATGTTGAATCGGGAAATTGATGCGATGTCCTGATTGAATCATTTATACCAAATATTGCTTAGTGTCAAAGAAATTATCATATTTTTAATCTCCTGACAGTGTTCTATGTTCTGCAGGTCTTTTCAACTC